AGTTTAATAGTCTTTGACAATAGAACCATAATAATGTTCAAACTTATGATTTCAATTAATTATAGTCGAATTTCGACTACTGCTAGTGGTCCCCTAGTTACAATAAAAGCTACGACAAACTTCAATTTTAAAAAAAAGCCTCACTCACATTTAGACCATTAAAAAACGTGTGGTCATATTAGCTCGTGTCCCGTTCTCGCCAGTTCTCGGCCTATATTCCTCAATAGCGGAAGTCGGCCATATGACACATAAAACGTACCTCACGTTCATAACATACCGGCACTTAGAAGGCACGTGAAGGCGGCGTTCATATTGTCAATGTTGTTGTTAATGTCTATCGGCTTCGGTACCCACTTACCAGCACGCCTTTTGTGTACAGCAATAAAAAATACATCCGACTTTTTCATTATAATCTTCGTTTCCCTGAAGCAACAACAATTAACAGCCGTGTTGCAGTAACCTATATTTTTTATTGCTTATATGAATATAGGAGCTCACAGCCCACCTGGGGTTAAGTGATAACTAGAACCCATAGACATCAACAACGTCAATGTCGCCACCCACCTTGAGACATGAGTTCTAAGTCTCGGATTTATAATGTAGTGTACCCGTCCGTTTCGCTGGGCATTTAAAATTAACATTATTATTTCTCACCCCCACAAAGATTCTCATCATTAACGCCCCCGTAACTGGTGTAGGGAGTCCAACACTCATATAAATATTAGCCTATCCATTAAGTACATGTATTTTCTTCATGGATACCAAGTTTCAAGTCAATCAGATACATGGTTCAGTAGTTATAACGGAACATCCGTAAAAACCACTGTAGATTTATATATTAGTATAGATAGTAGAGGAATGCCCCACCCCTCAAAGGAAACGCATCACTGTTTCGCGGTAGAAATAGGCTTGGTAGTAATACTTATCCGTGCGGGCTCACAAGTTGCCCTACCACCAGTTAAGTATTTAAAATACAATATTTCCAAAATAAAATAAAAAAAAATTTGACTAATTTCTGATTTAAAAAATAATAGGTATCTTTATTTTTCTCTTTGCATTATTTCTTGTTAGTGAACTTTATAGTCTCATTAGAGTTAATTTGATTAAAATAAGCATATCTTTTCATTACGAGATCAATAAGGTGCTTGCTCTTTGACTTTTACGGCCAATGACCTTTGTTTATTTCGCACCACAATACAGCTTTAATGACACGTGAAAATAATTGAGAAAACAACGTGATTAAAATGTATAGCGATGTCACATGAGTTATTATTATTTAATTTCTGATCCAATTATATACTGCCATCCCATCCCATATTAATATCTCTAGTCTAATATCCAGTTTATAACTATAATCCAGTATTTGAATACATATATCGAATAATAACATTTTACTTTCTCGTAAAACTGATAGAACGCTATAAATTTTTTTTATGATACGATACATTTTTATTTTTTACATGGATTATTGAATGAGCTCGTGTATATGACTGTTCAAAGCGGAGCTCCAAGAGGGCTGTGATACCGCAATTAAAAAAATGCTATTGGATCTTTATAGATATAGAAAAATTAAATGGTCATGCTGGCAACATTATAAAGTATGCTTGTTATAGTGACTACTACCGTACACTATTATTTCGTCGTTTGGAAATCCTTACAGGCATTCTTTTGTGTTATCAACATGCGTCATGTTTATTCAAATTAAAGATCAGTTCTCGGCAATGTTTACAGGTAAAATAGCAAGCTTCTAAAGGAGGCTTAGTGCATGCCTCCCAGCTGTTTATAAGCATAGACATGTTCACCGCCCTTCGATACACTCTTAGTACTTTTGCATGAAATGATAACAACGCCCAAAGCACAGGTCGCCGTAGTCATCGAATCTGCCAAAAAGATTGACGTGAAACTTAACCCATAGAAACAGTTAGTTGAGTTTATCGCCGGATCTTCTCAGTGGGTCACGATTCCGAACTGGTGGTAAATTCAATTGCAAAGCAGGCGCCTTCAGTTCCACCTTCTACCCCTTAAGTTCTCCTTCGGGGACGTTTGGCCAGCTGTTAGCAAGCCTTTCCCTCCTGGTGTAGCTCTTGAGTTTGCCTACTTGACCCACTGTAGAAACGGCCTCTAGGCCACTCGCAATTCCTCTGTCCTAAAAACGTAGCTCATTGAGAAGTGGAATATTTCATTTCATTAGAATAACACCGGACCCTTCAATCCATGGATACTTTGCACAGACAAACACGAACTGGTAGAAACTTGTAACGATAGTACAAACCCAAATTCAAAATCTGAGTAAAGTTTAGAATTTGAACGCACCCTGTAGTGCGTCCATACTTTTGATATTTTATCATTTGAAAGAGATTTTTGAAGTGAAAACTTCTTTAGAGTCGTGATTTCAAACCGGATGCAACGGAAAAAACGACAGGTAAGAGACACAAATACAAAAATGTGTAGGATGAAGCCAGCAAAGAATGAGACAGAAATATACATACTATTTAATACAGCGCCATCTGTGAGATTTTTTAATACTAACGTGTGTATAAAAGCTCTTGTAGTGAATTTTAATTTAGGATTATACGTGAAATTAAAATATCAATTCACAGAGGGCGCTACCTTACAATTATTTACTAATGACAAAATTTTACATATACTTAAGACGTTTAGGATAATTGTATTTTANATGAGACAGAAATATACATACTATTTAATACAGCGCCATCTGTGAGATTTTTTAATACTAACGTGTGTATAAAAGCTCTTGTAGTGAATTTTAATTTAGGATTATACGTGAAATTAAAATATCAATTCACAGAGGGCGCTACCTTACAATTATTTACTAATGACAAAATTTTACATATACTTAAGACGTTTAGGATAATTGTATTTTAATTTTGGAAGGTTTCACTTCTACCACGTGTGAATTGCACACATTTTGTTTTCTTGTTTATTTCTTAGTGAAGTTTTACATTTTACAGATTTATCTCGTTTCCATTGAAATATAAATTAATTACGATGCAACAAACCTTGAAAATAGTACAATAGTAAATACTCGTAGTAAATATAAGTATATTTACTATTATACTATTATACTGTTTGGCAACATTCTAAAGTCTGTTTGTTAAACTATCATTACTTCGTTTGGAAATCCTCATAGGCATTCTTTTGTATTATCAACAAGCTTCTTGCTTATTCATATTAAAGATCAGTCTTCGTGGCCTAAAAGATAAGACGTCCGGCGCATTCGTGTTGATCGATGCACCGGTGCTCGAATCCTAGGCGGGTACCAATTTTTTTAATGAAATACGTACTAAACAAATGTTCACGATTGACTTCCACGGTGAAAGAATAACATCGTCTAATAAAAACCAAACGCTTTTTTTCTGAAGCTTAATGTAATCTTTATATTGTAAAAGAATGTAAGAAATGCATGTGTGAAAGATGGGAACCCGATTTGGTTATATGAATACGTAAAATTTTACAAGTTAGGCGAACAATGGCTCGTAAAATTAACATTAAATAATTCCTACAAGTTTTATACGTATCTAGGAAAATGACCTTGCGCTTTTCGATTTGTCTTAAACGAATTATTAAGGCTTAGTTATAAAGATATTAATTAAATTAAGTGACATTTCGCAATGAAATTCTCGCTTGTCTTCTCTGAGGTTTCCTTGATGCGAACGGTACCTAAGGAAGTCACACTGTATAACATATAATTGTCATTCATGACACAAGCATGACGATGGCATTGACTTTATTGTGCCTTTAAGCTCAAGTACCAACATAATAGGTGCACTTCTAATGATAGCTTAGCTATTTGTGAAAATGATAGCTCAGCTATTTGTGCTAATTACGTAAATTTTATTTTTATTATTGCTTAGATGGGTGGACGAGCTCACAGCCCACCTGGTGTTGAGTGATTACTGGAGCCTATAGACATTTACAACGTAAATGCGCCACCCACCTTGAGATATAAATTCTAAGGTCTCAGTATAGTTACAACGGCTGCCCCACCCTTCAAATCGAAACGCATTACTGCTTCACGGCAGAAATAGGCAGGGTAGGTGGTACCTACCCGTGCGGACTCACAAGAGATCCTACCACCAGTAATTATGCAAATTAAAATTTTGCGGGTTTGATTTTTATTACACGATGTTATTCCTTCACCGCGGAAGTCAATCTTGAACATTTGTTGAGTACGTATTTCACTAGAAAAATTGGTACCCGCCTGCGGGACTAGAACACCGGTGCATCGCTCGATACGAATGTACTAGACGTCTTATCTCTTACCACCCATTCCGATAGAGGCACCCGTCACGTGCGGACGTGCTCATCGTCCACTCGATCGCCCGGTCTTTGTTCGCCCGGCTTTTGTTAGCCCGGCCATTGTTCGCGCGGCCTGTGTTTGTGGTACATCTGCCGACTAAGTGCTCTTTCTGGAAGTTTTTATTTGTTTTGTTTCCTTTTGTTGTTTCTGTGTTCGTGGTACATCTGCCNCAGATCCAATAACCTTTGCATTAGATGCCTTCAGCTCTAATACTAGGGGCAGGCTTAGGGACCCCGGTAACCGTACTCGTCGAACTCGACAAAGAGGTCGACGTGCAACCTAACCCATGCATCAGCCCGCTGAGTTTCTCGCCGGATCTTCTCAGCGGGTCGCGATTCCGATCCGGTAGTAGATTCATTCGCGAAACAATTCCTCTTGAGTTGTTAGGTCTCCTTCGGAGGCGCTCGGGCAGTTGTTAGCAAATCCCACCCCTCTTGGCTGAGCCTTTGCTCGCCCACCTGTCCTGGTGAAACTGGAAAGGCCTTCGGGCCACCAGTAAACTTTCAATCATAAAAAAAAAAAAAAAAACTTATCTCTTAGGCCACGACGATTTCAAACGACGACGTGGTGTTGGTATTGGCGACAATTGAACGCGGTCACTTAAACTCCTAAATACAACGTTCAGTGGTAATGCTATTGTCGAAGTATTTATTTAATTTAAACTATTTCCGCTTCTCAGGTACCTCGTGAGAGTTTCAAGCACATCGTGAAAGCATGCGAATGTCCGCTGTACTGGAAAATGCCTTTGTTTCTGGCCACTCAACAGAATCTACACCTTCCTATCGACGGACACAAATTCATTGACTTCTGGAGAGAGTGAGTGAAAATACAAGAAAATATTTACGTTCCTTATTAAATAATTGAGTGGGAATTTTTTGTAATCATTTTTTTTATAAGTCATGTTAGAACACCCATAGACACTTTATTTTATCTCCAAATTATGTGAAAGATTTAATTTTGGTTTAGTTGAGAATGCTAAATTATTAACATTTAAAAGAAAAGAAAAAGTCAAAATATCACTGTCCTTTTTTGGAATGGATGGAACTTTGTGGCAGACTAGACAGACTCATTCGTGTGGTTTTGCTACCTGTACTTATATGAGATAATAAGCAATAGCAACGTAGACAGAGAAAATGATCATTAAAGTATATTGAGCTAAGTCTGTCTTAAAATAAACAATGCTATATTGGCACAGTCTGCTCAAACCTAAGAGAATAGACTAAAAATACATTAGTATTGTTTTATCAAGAGTCACCAAAGCTCTTATTATTTGGAATAATAGCCTTCAGTGTATTTTCAACTCATACAACAATGTTCTACGCAGTATTGTGTAACTGAAGTTTCTATTCGTTATTTTCAGAATGACGTCACAGTGTCACGATCAGGCGTCGCGGTTCGTGTACATTTTGACGCGAGGGAAGAGCAGCATCCTAACTCCAGAAGATTTTGTTCCTCTAGTCCAAGACGTTGTGGACACTCACCCTGGACTCTCGTTTCTAAAGGAAGCCACCGAGTTTCACTCCAGATACGTGCACACTGTGAGTTTGTGACTTGAATATTTAATGAGTTTGAAAGCGACAAATTTAGTCACGCTCTCTGTCATTGTGACAAAAAGAGTCTTGTTTCATATTTTTTGTTTGTTTATTATTTGATAATATTTGTAATTAACGGAACGATTTTTTTGAAGTGAAACTTCTAATGCGACTTCCAACAAGGTTGCTTTTTTTCCTACCTACTCTAGTAACCTCGAGGGGTTATTCTAGATTCATCGAGCTAGTAGGTGAGCTCAAAACGGGAGTGTTGATAATACTGGCCCTAGCAAGAGCATTGCTTCACAGAATCTACCACCGCATCGGAACGGACATCTATCGAATGTATAAATTCGGGTATCTCGTGAGGAACATATATAGGAAAAAAACAAACATATTTTTCCGAAAAAAAATTCGTCTAGAAGGTAATAAATAAAATTTAAAAAATGGCGTGAATGTGTCTGAATGTGTATACATATCTAAATACGGTACGATAAGAAGCATACCTTAATAACAACAACAAACAACAGTAACGCCAACAAATACATTTCCTTAAAATACACGTAGAATACCTACACAATTATGAGTACCGTAATATTTTATGACGCAAGGAGCCCGTGAATTCATCTCGGGGGCGGTAATTGACATCCCTATTGCGTCAAAAACGTTCATTTCCTTCCTCCTCTGTGAAGCCCTGCTTTTCTTATCAGTACGCCGACTGACAGGCGATATTTTTAAACATAAAATAAGGTTTTATGTATGTACCTATAGAAATATTTTTAGCGTATATTATTTGCAAACCTGCGGTGCTTTGTCGTAATTGCTAACAATATTCTATTCAGTGACGTAATGATTAACTCACGCCCGGAGCACAATACCTTTTTATTTTTATTTAAGAATTAACATCTATTATGACACTAAATTTAAAATAAATTTTCCAGAATTCAATAATATAATAAATAAATAAAATACACATCCAGCAATTTTTTGTTTTGCGGAGGACCATTTCGTGCCCATTTACCACGTCATTACGGATCCTTCCGATCCATTAACGGTGCTTTTAGGTACCTCAAGCACCAGTCACCGTCCTCGTCGAGCCCGTGGCTTACAACGCGAGGGCTCGGCGAGTAAATTAACTCATAGACACAGCCCACTGAGTTTCTCGCCGGATCTTCTCAGTGGGTCGCGCTTCCGATCCGGTGGTAAATGATGCGAAGCACTACTCTTGCTAGGGCCAGCGTTAGCAACTCCTCCGGTTTGACACCCGAGAGTTCACCTACACGCTAGGGTAACGCTGGTATAGCGTCTCAAGCTATCAGCATAAGCAGGGGGAAAAAAGCTTCTTTGGGAGTAGCGGCCGAGGCATGATGCCCCCCATTTGCCCCTCCCTCGCTATATATATTAGAGTAATGTTCATATTGTGATTTTTGGGTTCCAGGTGATCGCTAGGATATTCTACTGTGTGAATAGATCGTGGTCGGGAAGAATATCGATTCCGGAGCTGAGAAGATCGAATTTACTACAAATCATTCAATTGTTAGAAGACGAGGAGGACATAAATCAAGTCACGCAATATTTTAGGTAATAATTGATTTTTATTAATAAACTAGCTGACCCGGCAGACTTCGTAGTGCCTCAATCGATAAATAAAAGACACATCAAGGGGACACATCAAAGGAAAAACAAAATTGTTATTTTTATTTAATTCCGAGCATTTTCATATTTATCTACCTTTTAAACCTTCTCTGGACTTCCACAAATAATTCAAGACCAAAATTAGCCAAATCGGTTCAGCCGTTCTCGAGTTTTAGCGAGACTAACGAACAGCAATTCATTTTTATATATATAGATATAGGTAATCATCAACAAGTCAGCTGGCTTACCACACTGAGATTTCCTGTACTATTAGAGTCAGATATACAGATATACATATATCCAAATAACCTACTCCTACTTAGCTTAAGCACTGACTGACTTGGTGACACCTCGAGCAACTGTTGTTATTTGTGTTTGCTCTTTGTCTGGGCTATTTAATATCCAAAAATATAAACGTTTATAGATACTCTGAATCCGACATTACAGCTAGTATATAATTTATTTATCAGGAGCAATAACACCAGTGTATTCTTATTGACGAACTACCCACGTCTCAATATTAATTGTAAAACTACCCTCGAATATTTCATGTTATGAATTAACGAAATTCGAAATATTTAATTCTAGTTACGAACACTTCTACGTGATTTACTGCAAGTTCTGGGAGCTGGATCGGGATCACGACTTGTTCATAGACAGGCACGATCTCGCGAGGCACAATGATCACGGTACGTATAAAATCGTCTACTTCATTTTTAGAGGCTACGAAAGACGCAGTAGCGATTAAAACAAAAAATACACATGGATACACATTACGAAATATTGAGTTACTTCTTTAAAAGTTTTGCTGATAGCGTTTGATTGCATGTTAACAGTTTGATCAGTAAATCATTCGAAATTTGTCACGTCTTTAACAAATCGATTTAGAGCTGGGATATATGTGGTAACAGTATCCTTATCGATCATCATCATCATTATCCTGCCCTTCTCTCAGTTACCTGGGGTCGGCGCAACATGTTTTCTCCTTCCATACTCCTCTATCATATACCATTTCTTCGCTCACTCCCCTCTTACCCATATCGTCTTTCACGCAATCCATCCATTTCTTCTTAGGTCTACCTCGTCCTCTATATCCTTCCACATTCATAGTTAACATTATCTTACCAACCTCGTTTTCATTTCGTCTCATCACATGTCCATACCATCCCAAACGCGCACTTCTCAGCTTCTTATCCTTATCGATATTTGCCTAAATTAGATCGACTAAACCATGTAATACTTTCGAATAACTGTGCAGCATTTATTTCATAGACGCCCACCTAGTGTTAAGCGGTTACTAGAGTTCATGGAAATCAAAATGTGAGTGCCTCCATCTATCTTTAAATAAAGGTTCTAAATTTCAATTGTATACCTATAAAGACTCCCATCCATAAAATCTATCCATCCACGATGGGGGCAGACTTAGAACACTCTCCAGCATTAAGATAAAGCATTATGTTATAAAGGCCGCTAAGTACCAGATAAGAAGTGACCTTATTGCCTCATACGCTTAGAGTTCAATTCGAAATTATTCCCAGCGCTATCGAGTCGAATGATAGAACGGGTGCTGTCTGGATGCGTAACTCGAGGCAACCAGAACCGTCTGACCCCCGACGGAGAGCCACGCATGTCTTACACGGAGTTCGTGTGGTTCCTACTCGCCGAAGAGGACAAAACTCATCCAACTGCCATCGAATACTGGTTCAGGTAAGTTTTGTTCGTCACAATTCATTATTACGACTAAGTGTCTCACAAAATTCTATAGTGTCAAAAAAGAGTAAATTATGAGATAAAAATAAACTATACTTGTTCAATTTATTAGCCCTAACGTCATATTAAATTTGTACATTATCTTGACATTTTTTAATTCAAAATCATCAAATATTCAAAATATCGAGGCTAAACAAACCGAAAAAATAGTCCTTAACTATCTCTCAACCCACGTCCTAAAGGATCCATCAGATCCAATAACTCTTGAATCAGACGCCTTCAGCTCTAACGCTAGGAACAGGCATAGGGACCCCGGTAACCGTACTCTTCGAACTCAGCGAAAACTTCGACGTGCAACCTTATCCATACATCAGCCGCTGAGTTTCTCGCCGGATCTTCTCAGCGGGTTGCGATTCCGATCCGGTAGTAGATGCATTCGCGAATCACCTGCCCTTGAGCTGTTAGATCTTCTTCGGAGGCGCTCGGACAGCTGTTAGGAAATCCCAAGCCTCCTGGCTGAGCACTAAGGACCGTACAATCACCACATAGCTCAGTAAGGATGTATCAATTACATCCCCAAGGAAGGATACCCAAAGCTAAAATAGCTATACCACTTCCAATTTCACGTCCGATTCCACTAATAGCTCTGAGGTTAAGAATAAAATTTCGCTATTATCAATGGACTAATATTTCAGATGCATGGACATTGACGGCGATGGGTACATATCAATGTACGAACTCGAATACTTCTACGAGGAACAGATGCAGCGGATGGAAGCTATTGGCATAGAAACTCTGCCATTCAACGACTGCTTATGTCAGGTACCTGCTCGTACTAAAGTTGAAAATAACCTTTACTATCAAAACAATTATTCAAATAGGTAGCCCGGATTCATTTAGACATCTGTGGGTATTCAAATGTAAATAACAATTGAAGCCTAAGCTACTGCTTCCACAGCGCTTGGGATTAGTAAAAAAAAAACGATTTTATTCTCATTGTTAACAAATTAACATCTCCTGTAAGAGCTTTTTCTTTAAGACTGAAGGAATACTATAACAGAAAAAGATGTTTTTTTTTAAATTTCGAAACAATTTTAAGCTTTTCAGTAAGCTTTTTTAATAGGTACGAAAAGGAACATACTTTTAGCTGTAAATACAAATTTCCAACATTGTCTCACTTTAACGACAATTTCCCTTTAAAACGCGCGAAAACATAACTACAATTCTTTTCAAATAAAATAAAAAAGTTTCCCTTAAGTAGTTTGCTGCTTTAAATAATCGTCGAATAATAATTATCTTGTATGCTTAGAAATTAAAATCAATTTTAAATATACTTTAAAGGCTTATTTCAAGTTCGGTTCAAATAGCCAACTCTCGGAAATAAGTTTTAGGAATTTCTCAATTCAATTATGTATTCCCTTGTAGATGTTAGACATGGTGCATCCAGCCGAAACGGGAAAGATAACGTTGAGCGACTTGAAGAAATGCAAATTAACCCCAATATTCTTCGATACTTTCTTCAACTTGGAGAAGTACCTCGACCACGAACAAAGGGATCCGTTCGCTACTCAAAGAGACTCCGATTGCGAAGTAAGTGCTACTTATACAAATTGTTCTATGTTAGATGATGAGAGATAAGAAGATATTAGTTTTTTTTTAATTGCTTAGATGGGTGGACAAGCTCACAGCCCACCTGGTTTTAAGTGGTTACTGGAGCCCATAGACATCTACACCGTAAAAGCGCCACCCACCTTGAGATATAAGTTCTAAGGACTCAGTATAGTTACAACGGCTGCCCCACCCTTCAAGCCGAAACGCATTACTGCTTCACGGTAGAAATAAACAGGGTGGTGATACCCACCCGCGCGGACTCACAAGAGGTCCTACCACCATTAGATGTACCTACTTAGATCCAAGATTGTACTAAGACATTAATTCACAGTACAGTTCTAATTAATTCATAAGAATGTTTTGAAACAATACATTTTAGGTTTTAAATAAAAATCCAAACATTGCGATTCGTTTTAAAACCGCAAGTACTTATTATATGAAAATATAAATATTGTCCTATATTTAAACAGCTAAATTTATGGCATTTTAATTTATGAACAGTGTAAGTAAGTAAACACTATCCAATACTGGTATTAATGAGGGTATGATCACCTTGAGCACATATCCATGAAATGAAAAAAATGTAATGCACTTATATTACATAGAATGCATAAATTATTCTCAGAAACACTATCTAAAATACTGGAGATGTTTTATGTTAGATATGGAGATGTTAACTATACTTGAGACCTTAGAACTTATATCTCAAGGTGGGTGGCGCATTTACGTTGTGGATGTCTATGGGCTCCAGTAACCACTTAACACCAGGTGGGCTGTGAGCTCGACCACACATCTAAACAATAAAAAAAAATGTAAGCGATAGACAATTAATAATTAATGCATTTTAGTGAAACAATTTCTCAATATCGTATTTTTATATGCATCAGATATCGGATTACATCAGTAACAAATAAATCGCAGCATTCTTTTCATTAAAGACGCAAAATTTACTGTAATTATTTTTCCTGATTTTCTTTTAAACGTACTTATGCTAGTTATGTATTTTTTTAGAAATAATTGTTCTCTTTTAAACCTATCCTATCGAAGCATAGCCTATTTACTTATTCTTCGTCAATAAGTATACGTATGATGTTGACAGTGCAAGCAAACATAGGCCGTTTTTCAATTACAGCACAAGAGCGCATTATGCGGCATAATGCTCAACTAAGCTTCAGCATAATTCGGCATTGTGCGTCACTGAGTCGCATTATGCTCTGTAATTGGAAAACTACCATTAAGCAATGGTTAATTGTGCTGTAATTGGAAAACGGCCATATACTTAAATATTAAGTGTATCGTGGTGTATTATCTATGTGCTCGACTGACACATTACATAGGTACCGTACTGAAATTAATAAATTGACACTTCGTAATTCTGTTCCAGATGTCAGAATGGGACAGATTCGCTGCTGAAGAATACGAACTCCTTGTAGCCGAAGAAGGCGGAAGCGAGGCCCAAGAACAAATGTAAGAAACGTTTAAAAATCTAAATTACCTACACATTTATAATCTACAAATATCAAAAATAATCCATCTCTTTCGCACGTACAGGCAATTGTATAGGATAATGAAAGAAACAGAGAAAAAAAGGTGTATAAAACGGTTCTATGAATTGTGCAGGACTAACGGGCTGAACGGGTTGAAATTATACAAATAGTATATTATTTAGGTAATGTAAGCGCATTAGAATGTATGCAGCACTCGTATTTTAAAGCATTTTGGTGCATTATGAACATACCTATAAACCCCCTGCTCTGTTATCACGAATATAGGACCTGCACATACATACCTTTTATTTGAATTTTCAGCACAGATCTAATTTCGTTGAAAGATACTTGATTTTGGCGTGTCACTTTTTTTTTATTTGAGTGATGATTGTCTATAGCAACGACCGAAATCTTAAACAAGGGCTGGATTTGATTTTGATTATATAAAAAATTAGAGAATAGGCTTAGAAATAGGCTTAAAGGTCTCGTTACAAGACCATAAGCATCAGAATTTTTTTTTAGATTTACCATTAAATTTTGGCGAATGCTAGTTTTCCTATAGTTTTTCCTAAACTAGTTCCTAAACGTTGATCTTAGTGTATAGTACCTAGCTAATTGTTTCGTTATTGAGTACATAATATTTTGCACGTGTTAAGTCATTTTCTCAAATATTAAGATTTTTTGTCTTCTATTTCCCATTTTCTTACGTCTTTTCTCTCCGGAGTGATCAAATTTTCTTAATTAAAAATAATCCCACTTTCCAATGAGAATTTTCAAAGTTCTTTTAATCCGAAACGGTCCCTTAAAAGGTTGTAAGTTATCAAAGCTTGGTAGACCTATCATGATTCTCAATTTTCCTTTTAAATATTTAGTTATGTATAAAAAATAATTCGTACATAAAAATAACGTAAAACTGTAATTAGAACTTTTACGGTTTAATCCCGCATTTTTTATTGTCATTATATTATTTCTTACGTCACTTAGGCTTTACGGTTTTAGTGGTCATGGACGAGTAAGGCGTTATTCGTCTACATTTGATTAATGTGCTATCGTCTATTTTTAAAAAAGTTCCAGACTTTTACGTTTCATTTCACACTGAGCGAACTAATATTATCTTGCGGTCTGGCTGTTTATCCAGTCAAAAATAGTTTTAGTTGTGTCTACGACTTACGAAGACAATCAAAATCAAACCTGGCCCTCGAATCGATATTCGATAATCGAATGATTTGAAGAACTTAAATAAAAAACAAATTAGTTATTAGAAAGTGATACGCTGTGCCTTTACCGTTCTACCTATTTCTGTGTTAGAAAATATCTTAACAGAAATATGTTCTGAATGCAAACACGTACAGCTCTTAACCCGAAAATGTTAATTTTAAACTAGACTCATTTTTAACAAAAGACCCACTATTAGTTGACATCTTCATTATAAATTCAATTCAATGTTTAGTTCACATTATTATATCTGTTTATGTATTAATATTTATGTTATATTTTTTTATATATTATATAAATATAATTTTATATTTTCATTATTTATGATTTCTTTCATCAGGGAGGAAGACAGAACTGGCTATGCTAGGGTAAGAAATAAAGTGTGAATTGCAGAGTATGTTTCTTGTATTTATACGCGCACACGAAAGCAATGCTGTGTCCCGACGCTGCTTCTGATGTGAGCTTGATTGACGCCCGTGGACCACATGTGCATCGTGTTCCATATCGCTTACTGTGTTCAAAGTTTGCACTGAAATCTAATGTATTCGACACGAATCACGAAACCGAATATCGATAACGCCAAATCATTTATATTTTTGGTATTGATTTTCGCTTAAGTACTCGTCTGCCTTACTGATGAACTCAAACATCCACTATGTACATAATATGTATGCTATCTCTTATACTTTATATCATTTTAAAGCTTTTGTTTATTATTAATCGAACTCATCAGCATTCGGCATGAAGCGAAACTAACAGAGAACAATGCATTCAGTACATACTGTTCTATTCGAATTATCGTATACTAGTATCGTGATATTCAAACTAATCTGTATTTCCAGCTCATACGATGAGACGGACGAAGACTGTTTGTCGCCCAATATGGATGATATAACGAATACTGAAGTGGTGGAGGATTCGAGCGTGGAAGAGTCGACGCTGAGCGAAGGCGGCCCTCTCGCGCCCGGCTACGTGAACCTTAGCTCCATATATTCCCTCGGGACCGAACGGTGGAAACAACAGAACGCGACACTCAATAACGGACTCGCCGAGAAGAGGCTCCCAGAGAAACCTGTCCCTCCAGAAAAACCAGTCAGTCTGATGATGGTCAACGGCAAGATGGACAATCGATACTCCAGCTTCAGCAACAACAGCTTCCTCTACTCCCAGCTGCTCGGGTCTAGTGGAGTGCGAACCAGAGACCCGCCTTCGTACAGCGTCGCAACTGGTGGACTTGATGTGGATACGAAGAACGCAGTGTCTCCGGTTCGGTCCCCCGCGACGAGCCCCGTCAATGGCATCAACAAGATCTCCGATAACTACGAGAGGGCGATCGCAGAACGACTCAGTCCCCAACGAGACATATCGAGGGTGAACAGAAGCGGTCTCTTCAGTAAAGTGAATACGGGCATCGTCGCCAACAACGTGAAGAAGAATAGCCCCCGCAGGGACGAGGAGGACGGCGACTACGCTCGCGACAGTGACGAGTGCTCGATATAGGAGCGGCGGACTGCATCGTGCTGTCTCGCTCTGTAACGATCCACCGACACCGTTCGCCGGTCGGTGTGCTGCGACGCCAAAGATCGCCATTTACAAAACATTTTGTAGTGTTAGCTTTTTAAATGACTCTATTGTTATACGGTTGTTCGATACAGAGAAATATTTTTTCAGCGTATCCTAGTGGTCGATACGTGCCTTGTGACAGTGTAGACTTTAGACGATTGATAGACAAATAACTAGTAGTTTAGTGCGCGTCTTGTGAGTGTGACGTACGTCGAAAAATGTTCTCGAACTACGACACAGACTAGTTTTGGCATTTTAATAGTATTAATACCTGTGTATCAATTTATTTAATACGTATATTTTAGTCTCAAATTAACCATATCAAGCAACTGTTTTGTTTGCATGTGAATTATTAATGTGTGTTGTAGATTTTTTCACGTACATATATATATTACATACCTAATAAATGTAACTGACGTAGAATCTATGATTCATATTATCGCCGCCATTTTCCGTCGTGCTCTTGATTGATCATATCATCGCTCCATCCACATTATTAATATTTTATTATAAGACAAAAGATACTAATGTTGCCAGTCATTAATAAAAGTTCGTCCATTAAGCTTTATTTATTTATTTGTCGTGACAAAATCAGGCTATTACAGTTATGAAACTATAAAAGTTGACGTATTTTTGATATGCAAATACATTTCAAGATGACTTAGTAAATATTTTCGAAATGCCGCGTACTAAATTTACAACATGTAACCAAAGCGGTTTAACTTTGAATGAAAATCCGTAGGTATCTAAAAACTGGATCATTATGTGAATATAACAATTAAGTATAGCTAATTAGGACAGAGTAGGAACGATCGCCTTGAACTGATCGTAATTTCTTGAAAGCCTTGCCTAAGCCTGACGGTAAAAGTTTGTGAGGTTTAAATTTATGAGATTTAATAAAAAAAAATTGATTCCTCTTGGAACGCCTCGTAAATAAGTTGCCATTTCATATTCGCGTCGTTTAAGCAGTTTGTACTGTGTTGTAAAGAATCTATGAATGATAGTGTGATTTCGTCAGGCGTTACCGTCGTCCCCACTCATAATACCAAATACACTCGTTAACTGTTTACTAGAAATGTTATAATACAAATTTGTTAACGCTAACAGTTCTTAAATTTCAGGCCTCACTTTGAAATACGGTTGCTGGAATTTTAAGCAGTAAATCGATCCCAAGTTTTTCTTTTTGAAAGAAATAAACATGACATAATTATGCGACGTATATTCTATAATATCTTATGTTATAACAAATCTATACATTGATTTATTATGGATTACACACACAGCTACAAATGAAGTCTTAAAATCGGTAAATTTTTTATCTGGTGTTCAATGGAGCTCATAGATATTTGAATGTGAATGCCGTCATCCACCTTGAGACATGAGGTCGAAGACCACCCTTCAAGTCCGAACTCATGACTGTTGATATGATACCTACTATTGCCGGCTCACAATACGCTTTCACCCCTGCAAATGGCAAGAACGGTGTTACTTATTCTCCGGTAAATCCTTTATTTGCTTTTTACGACGCCCCCGGGAAGAGATGTGGTAGTTGATTTCAGTGCCACAATCAAAGTGCGGCATTCATCACGTACCGTTTATGTAATTATTATACTGGACTTACTACTACTTTATTTGTTTCGGTTTGAAGGGTGGGGCAGCCGTTGTAACTATACTGAGATCTTATAACTTATATCCCTAGGTGGTGGGTGGCGCATTTACGTTGTAGATGTCTATGGGCTCCAGTAACCACTTAACGCCAGATGGGGTGTGAGCTCGTCCACCCACCTAAGCAATAAAAAAAAATACTACTAGACTTTATGTAGCTAGACCTTGGATAGAAAAACAGAATTGTCTGATAGAATTTCAAATTCTGGACCATATCTAAACCAATCGTAATTACATGTACTAAATAATAATAATAATAATATTCGGTGTATAAAATTGGATTTACATAGCACGTTTTTTGGTATTTACTTAAAAACCATTTATTTAGCACGAATTTACACATTCAAAAAATGATATGATAAATTTCTAGTAATTAGTGAAATCTTAGAAGACATAGTGAATCTGTATTTCAAACCTTCTGTATAATATTAGGAAATATTTTCTTGCAGTAAAAGCTGACGGAACTTTTCTAGTTTATTTTCATCATTCACAATTTTCCTTATTGGTTTATCAAAATTTGATTTGATATATGTACGAATATCATTTATGAAGCGACAAACAAACATCTTAACGGCCTTAACCAATAGCAGATTTAAGCTTGTATTCTTGATTGACTAGGTGGCCGCCAATCTATCTATGCAATTCTCAAGCAAACAACTAATTTTAATATCATATAGATAAATAATTTACTTTGGATACTATAACGAGAAATGTTTTATAAGCTTTCACTGAAGGTTTTACTAGGTTATAATAATACAATAATTAGATATTCTAGTCTTCAGGTGCTGTTACGAGCCTATGGGCGCATCAATAGTCTTTGAAATGTCAAATCGACCAAAGAACGAGTTTGAAATTGTCAGTTTTTTTTTTATGTTTCAAAATATGTCGCATTCTGTGGTGGACAGTTTTTATTTTAGCCTTTTTTTAGCATACATTTCATTTATATTTTTACCAAGTCTACCTATTTTAATGGTTAATTACGTACCTACCTACCATACTATTTTTAGAAGTAATTTTAATTTTTGGGCTTGTGCGCACTCACTAACGCACTCCGAATCAAACTTTTTCTTAAATTCCCTTTATTAAAGAGCCACAAAGTTGCGTTATGCTGATTTTGGAAGCAACTTAATTTAAACACGTAATGTCAAAGAAATCGAGGGTGTGTGACAACCTTCGATCAACAATAGTAACTACTTGTTGATCGAAGGTGACAACCCTCTCGTACCGTTGGCAGATATCTCGAATAATGTCTGAAGAATCGTTATCACACAAGTTCTCTTCCATAACAAAATCAATCAGGAAGTGTGATCTTATTTGAGACAGCCTAAATATAAAAAAATCACTAATCGCGTTAACATTTGAATTTACCTCTTCATGTTTACATTTTTAATGATGTGTCGACATAAAATTTATTGACTAACCTTACCAATCATTAACCAAAAATATTGTTGAAATTGTTTGACAAATTTTATGAATATGTGTTACGATGTTGTTTAAAAGTATGTTTCATTATTATTACTTAGAATTTTTTACGTGCTATAATCGGTTCAATGAACTGTAAAATTGAATTATTTTAATTAAATTAGAAAGAATACGTACACTACAACTTTGTACTTACCGATATTATAAACTTATTATATTTCGTGTTTCGGTAGAGTTTTGTTTTTTATTAATTCCTTAAGTATTCAAAATTTAGAAAGTAGACAGGTTTGTTATATGTATTAAAAAACAATAAGTAAACATTTTACGATTATAATACAAAAGTAGGCACGTACACGTAAGTACGTTCATGATGATTTTATATTAAAAGTAAGTACCTTATCCTTATTAGGTACTAGCTTTTAATTTTAATCTCTTAGTTATAGTCTTAAATGCATTATAATTTTATGGAATTAAGCCCCAGTAATAAGTACACTTAATGTAATGTGGTTTTTATTTTGTATTCAGTTTCAATAAAATCGTTATCCACTTATTTGAATGTAAAGCTAAGTTTATTATTGAATGCTTTAACGCATTAAGTTTAATTAAGGACAAATTTACAAAAGTATTTAATAATTTAAATTAGTTATATTCGAAGCAACTAAAACAAAATAACATCAATTGGTTGAATTAGAAAATTTTCATATGTATTTGTGATTTAAATTAATTATGACGTCATCATCGCCACGCTCACTGCTAAAATGTCATATTTATAAAATATGTAAATTCATAATGAATGCATAGGTAACTGCAACATTGCGCGTAATCAATTTGGACACAGAGACGAAAAACCTATCCCATGCCCCGAGCCGGACCTTCCACTTCCCGCCAAAATAGGATTCGGTGACTAGATACCGCATTTACTAATAGTCTATCCACTTATCTACGTCTGCAGATATCCAGAGGTCTAGCTCATACAAAAACATTAAATATTAAAATATAATATACATTTCAATTCGGAATTTCAATTGTTTAATTTTCATACAGTATTAACAATTGATAAAGCAGGTGATACACGACACCTAACCTCAACATTTAGGTATTAATAAAGTTTTTTACGTAATTTAGCGATGAAGTAGGTAACGGTGTGTTAACATGTGAATTTAAGGTGACAAACATATAGTTAAGTCTCCTAATAAACTACATCATTGTATTCTATGCGGTTTTATTTATTTCTTTATACTTGTTCTATTAAATATGTATATTTCTTCAGTCTTAAATAGGTAAGTGATGTTGGTACAAAAGAAATTGACTTGTTGCGTGAAGCAGTAATGCGTTTCAGTTTGAAGGCTGAAGCAGCCGTTGTATTGTAAAAATCTATCCGATGATTTGCAAGCCAAATAAATAATCCCTTCGTAATAAGGTGACACTCGACAAAGCTTTCATCCGCTTGGTCATGACCTATGCAAATCTAATGCTCGCTCACACGGCCCGCAGTAATTTGAAAACCCTTCAAGTCATACAATCCCGTTTTTGTAGGATAGCCGTCGGAGCACCGTGGGTCATGAGGTACATAGATCTCCATGATGATCTGGAGCTCGACTCCATCAGTAAGTATCTTCAGTCGGCATCAGTGCGCTACTTTGAAAAGGCGGCACGACACGAAAACCCTCTTGTCGTGGCCGCCGGAAAGTACATACCCTATTTTGCGGACCGAATGGTAAACAGTCGACGTCGCCCTAATCACGTAAACGTAATTTCGGATCCTCCTGATCCACTAACAGTGCTTTTAGGTACTTCAAGCGCCGATCACCGTTCTCGTCGAACCCGTCGCTTGCGAAATGAAATTTGCGCTAGGAAATTAAAATAAAAAAACAAAAAAGTTAAAACTGTCCATAAAACTCTCGAATGTCTCGAGGTAGCTAGCGGCATTAACGTTGTCCATAGGCTATGGGCTCCAGTAACCAATTAACAACAGGTGGTCCGTGATCTCGTCCACACGTCTAATCGATAAATAAAAAGCAACACAGCACTATCACATGGTTCGGCTTCAAATTAAGCTCTTTAAATGAAGGCCTTAAATTAGTATATTTATAATGTTTGACTATAATCGTATCGACGGGAGAATGCGGACATGTCGTAACCCCCAGCGGCAAACGTAGGAGCGCTGTTCCAACGCCATACAAATTTAAGTTAACTTTTACGTGATCGAGAAGTTGTAAAACTTGCACTAATCACACAGTTACCAGTGGTTTGTGTCATAACAATACCCCTAGCTATCAGTGTTTCAATAAACAAATACCAAAGTCAAAGATAAAATCCGCCTTTCTTTCCAAATTCAATCCGTCTTTTGTATTCCAAATATTCACTATAATTGTTTGTTATTCATTTATATAATCACTGCTTATTTTTTTCCTATCTATTCACTGGTATTCCAGGCTATTCCAGCTACACCCGGACGGGCAGGTAAGCTCATGGGCTCAACCTGAAAGAATTTGCTAACACTAGCCCTAGAAAGAGCAACGCTTCGCAGAATCTACCACCGGATCGGAATCGCGACCCACTGAGAAGATCCGGCGAGAAACTCAGTGGGCTGCATCTATGGGTTAATTCGCTCGTCGAACTCTTCGTCTTCGTTATCGACGAGTTCGACGAGGACGGTGAGAGGACTAAAAGCACCGAGAGTGAATCCGGGGAATCCAGCAAGGCATGTATCGGGCGACGGCGTCGCGGCGGCTTTGCGTTGTCCCGTCGCGGTTGGACAAGGAATTATTGAACGTTCTGATTTAAGTAGTAATTTTTAACGAGCTAGTTGCTAGTTTCTTTACAAAACACCTACTTTCTATGATCTTATCTCATTGATTCTATTTTATTTCATTCGTTTTTTAAATACTAATCTTGGGTTCGGCTATTTGATAAACATATTTATCTGGATAGCTACTTCGGTTACATTTTCTTTGCCAGCCTAATGGTCGAATCAAACTAAACAAGAAACTGTCAAACCAAATGTCAAAGTGGCTAAGTATTTTTCGAACTGTGTTTTTGAAAAAAGAGACAAGATTGTGTGTAAATAAAGAGTTTACATATCCTAAAATGCCATTTTACGCAGTGGCAAAAGGTCGTACCTCAGGAATTTTTATGACTTGGGCAGATTGTGAAGCTCAGGTCAAAGGATTTTCTGGCGCTAAGTACAAAAAATTCGATACCATAAATCAGGCTCAGGACTATGTAGTCACCCAAGGAAGTAATAAGGGTCCGCCTTCTAAACCTGGAACTAGCTTTAAGGTCGGAAATAAAAAAACCGCGTCTAATAATCTGAAACGTCCCTATTCAACCACTACAAATGACAAGAATGAAAATGAAAACAAATTAAAATCACAAACTAAAGCTGAGGACGATTTCGATGAAGATTTTGAAATATCCGATGACCTGAACACTATTTTAACGAAGCAAATGGACGATATTGAAGCAAGATTAAAAGGTTTCCAGAAAGGAGTTGATAAAATAATAAAGAAAAATAGTGCTAAACCTGAACGAAAAACTATAATGATTGATCCACCAGAACCAAAAAAACAAAGACAAGACAACAACGATTTTGAAACTGACCCTGATGGCTTTGTACAGGTGTATACTGACGGAGCATGTTCAGCAAATGGTCGGAGTAGTGCGAAAGCAGGCTTGGGTGTGTACTGGGGAGATGGTCACTCTCTAAACGTTAGTGAACCGGTATCGGGCAGAGCAACTAATAATTGTGGTGAAATACAAGCGGCTACTAAAGCTATAAGACAAGCACTACAAAATGGAATCACAAAACTATCTATTAACACAGACTCTAAATTTTTAATCAATTCAGTCACTAAATGGATGCCTGGTAAATGCTATTCATTAACTATGTTTTATGTTTTGTTTATATAATAATAATTAATAGTAATTTATTTATTAACCTTGAAAACATTTACACATAACAGTTTGCTAAAAACTCTCCACACTAAGCACTGCCTGTCTCGTGGAGAGTTTTTTAAGAGTTTATGTGACTATATTAATATACAAAGCATTCCACTTTTCAATTGATTGAGTAAAGCTATTTTACACACATTTGATTTGCCAAATTTAATCATCCATTATCTTTTTAGGTTGGAAAAGGAAAGGTTGGAAATTGCAATCTGGTGCACCAGTAAAAAACGAAAAAGATTTCAAAGATTTAGATAGTGTCCAGCACAAATTAGACATTAAGTGGAATTATGTAGAAGCACATCGTGGAATACATGGTAACGAGATGGCAGATCAGTTGGCAAAGGCAGGAGCGGCTTCTTACAAATCATGATTATTTGGTTATGGTGATTATGATGAATTAAATTACAATTCATAAAGTTTTGGCCAAATTTGATTTTTAATATTATTCGTAATAATTTAATATGCTCCAAATTATAAATTATAAATAACTCAAACATATGACCAGTCTGTATACTGTTGTTTGTTCACGAAAATCCATCCGAACTAGTGAGACATATGTGTGATTGTTATGATAAATACTATGAAGTCTTAGCTGTAAATAAGCAGTTGAGGCAACATCTTGAGAAGACTGACTGCTAATTAAGCTTTATTTATTTTACTATCAAATAGCATCAATTTTAAATATATAATATGTCTAATTTGTATCTCGAAAATCTACAACACAATAAATTTGTAAAACATGTACAGAAAATAATATAATCACAGATTCTTTGCATTCTATTTTCTAACATGTAAAAAAATGTTAAACTTGATAATGTAAAGTCTAAAGAAAATAAATACTGTTTGACTGTACAAAGTTCTTTAAAATTTTTAAGCTTTAGCTCAGTGCATGTTTTATGTTTTTTACTTCTCTATGAAATGGTTTTATTCCCCTCTCTATTCATTGGTACCCTAAAAGACTATTATCCCAGCTACGCCTGAACGGATAGATGAGCTCACGGGCACATCATTAAAGAATTTGTTAACATTAGCCCTAGTAAGAGCAGTGCTTCACCGAATCTACCACTGGATCGGAATCGCAACCCACAGAAGATCCGTCGAGAAACTCGGTGGGCTAAGCATACACAAGGGTTTCCCTATTTGCTTTAATCCATTATAATAATCAAATTATTTTTGAGTTATTTTGAGTTTATTGTTGAGTAATTAGACGTGAATTAAGTATACCTGAAATCACATAATGTCCTCTCATTGTGGTCTGTCAAGATAAAGTTTTTAGTACTTGGGTTTTGAAATTAACTAATTGCCCCAGCTATTTAATTATGTAGCAGTTTGTACACTATATAACAGCACATAGTAATGTCCCGAAACTGTATATTTTTAATAATGGTACTATTATAGTATTAATAACACATATTCTCCAAGGACATTAACAAAGGGTTATTGAACGTAAACAGGTAGATATGTTTCAAGTTTTTATTTAATAACTACAGTATACTATTTACAATTACATTATAATGCCTAATCTTTCAAGTCGTACAATGTAGTAAAAGTAATGAACGTTTTACTGTTACACTATGATTAAAAACTAAAATGGAGACAGGCAAATTTCTACATTAAAATATATCATGGGTCTGTAAATCCGGCCCTTTCAACACAATCCAAAATTTCAATGGTCCTGTCAACATTGAAAAATTACTTGAAGCTTGCTATGAATCTCATAACATATATTTGTCAAAATTCAATGCAAACCCTTCACGGTTCTTTTTATAATTCAACAATGTCACTATTGGATCTTTAAAACTTTAATCAATATTGTATGTTTTTTTTAATGTGCTTTTAGTATGTTTATGTGTGACCTATGTACGCATATAATAAATTTGATTGATCTTCAATATTCTATACGCATTGACTAGGACTAGGAATTACATAATATTTAAACAAAATATTTTAATTCACTATCATTATTAAAAAGAAAATAAAAATATAATTCCGCTTTACATTTACACTCAATGAAACTTACATACGACAATAACGAAAACACATTGAACGTGTTTTCCGAAAATCACATTATCCTAAAATGCTTTATTTGCAGCAAACCTTATATAGCAGTCTTAAATATTATGTAAATAGTGAACCGCACGTTCTAATCCGCAAACATAAAAAGTAGTATGATTTGTACTGGACAGAGAAGTTTATTTGAGCACAAATTTTTACACTTTCATTCAACTGCATCTCTATTTTGATATATCATAAAATCCGAAAACTTAATTTCTAATATGTTTTATTTTAACAGATCTTCCTATATACTAATATTATTAGCATTTAGCATAAATATTGCTTTTTTTCTATTCCTTTCACAGAGCATACTACAAAACTTCCTACGCACCTAGTGACAATAAAACAGCTGATGTCAAATAAAATCATAACTATCATAAAATAAATGCACAATGGGCGTATGGGACTTAATTTAATTATATACGTCGTGTACATAACGTAAATATTTGTCTAGCATTATGTACTCTACTGAAACGCATGCACTAATATATACATACTCCTTTTTTTAATATAAACAGATAGTCCTTCTAATGGAATACTAGAATAAACAATATTTCGAGACAAACTACCTATAGTAGTATACTGTGCCTAATGAAAAATACAACATACAACTTTTGCAGAACAGAAATATTGGATTTTATTTTTCTAAGTGTTTGAAAATTATTATAATGATATAATAATACAAAAAAAAAGAAAAAGACAGATTATAAGACCATTCATCCACATATAAATAAAAAAGATGGATGAATGCTAATTTCTCAAATTTTTATTGCATTTAATATTTATTTACACAATTATTATATTTTGTTCAAAAACGATTCCAATTTCCAATTCAAACAAGTAACATTTTTTTTCTGATAGCTTACACATTATCTAATATTATTACAGATGGTTTGTTGTTAATTTATATAACAGTATATGCAGAATACATGTTCATTAAAAACATTGCTTTAATTTCAAGTAAAACATTTAATGTTATAGTTATATTTAATTATAGTTGCATCATAAATTGCAAATATCACTTAATTTTACTGTGAATGCTTCACAAACAGACATTTATAATCAAACATTTATATGGCTTAAAATCGTTGATGTAGAAACTATAATAAAAACCATTTACTCAAATATGTACTACCACTCAACAAAGCTTAATTTAATGCAACTTATCAGAAAGTATTGATATATCTACAATAATGTCAATACGTGTAACTGGTGACCAAATGACGTTACATAAAACAAGACTATTTATTCATTAAGAGAAGTAACGACATCCTAAAACTATAACCATATAATGTAGTGCTAGTACAGTATGTATTGTTTTTTGAACAGCTTTACTGTGGCTCAGTGCGGGCTATTTCTGTTGAACTACGTCCAACATTTTCACATTTTCGACCCCATTGGGTTACAATTCCACTAAAATGTCCATTAAAATTTTAACCTTACTTCTGTCGGACAGTCCGCGGGATTATTTCCAAGTTCGGTTGGCGCTAAGTGAAGTACTGCAGCGTGTGAGTGCGTCGCGGCGGGTTGACGCTGGCGTTGGACGTGGAGCCCACAATGAGGTAGCCTCCCGAAGTTACTACTTTTTTGTTCTCCTCGTTCATTATCTGTGGAAGTGTTATTTTTTTTGTTATGTGGATGTAATACGACAAAGGGATGATCTAGTAGACCGACGGTCCGAATTTTTGTTTTTTTTTCCTAAGCTGATAGCCTTGAGAGGCTATTTAAGCGTGACCGGGCGAGTAGGTGAGCTCACGGAGCTCAAACCGGGAGTGTTGTTAACACTGGCCCTCGGCCCTAGCAAGAGCAGTGCAGAATCAACCACGGGATCGGAAACGCGACTCACTGAGAAGATCCAGCGAGAAACTCAGTGGGCTGTGTCTATGGGTTAATTTAATCGTCGAGTCATTCGTCGCAAGCGACGGGTTCGGCGAGGACGGTGAGCGGTTCTTGATGTACCTAAAAGCACAGTCAATGGATCGGGAGGATAAGAATGTTGATGTTCGGAACTTGTATTTAAGCAAGCTTATCTTGAAAATGTCGTAAGCGAGATTCAGGCATTTGTCTAATATTTTCGTTTTCTGTGATGGCTACCCGCCAGTTATAATGTTTCAAGCTCGTGTTGAAAATCTCTGACGCATCTCGGTTTAAGCTTTAAACGTTGCGACCGTCGTAAGGAAACGTTAATTAATTACTATTCATTTGTAATTAACACTCGTCACACTAAACGTGAAGTAAATATTTTTTTCAGAAAAGCTGCAACCTCCCTTATTTTTAAATGCTTAAACCTTAGGTTGAACGATAATGCTCTAAAATTAAAGTTTTAGCATATGAAACAATTTCGAATGACGAAGTCTCCAAGTGAGCTTTTGGTCAATCTGAAACTAACTTTTTTTTTTTTTTTTATTGCTTAGATGTGTGGACGAGCTCACAGCCCACCTGGTGTTAAGTGGTTACTGGAGCCCATAGACATCTACAACGTAAATGCGCCACCCACCTTGAGATTTAAGTTGTAAGGTCTCAGTATAGTTACAACGGCTGCCCCACCCTTCAAACCGAAACGCATTACTGCTTCACGGCAGAAATAGACAGGGCGGTGNGGTTACTGGAGCCCATAGACATCTACAACGTAAATGCGCCACCCACCTTGAGATTTAAGTTGTAAGGTCTCAGTATAGTTACAACGGCTGCCCCACCCTTCAAACCGAAACGCATTACTGCTTCACGGCAGAAATAGACAGGGCGGTGGTACCTACCCGCGCGGACTCACAACAGGTCCTACCACCAGTAATTACGCAAATTATAATTTACCTACCAATTATTATCAATTATAATTATATTATAATCTAATAGCAAATTATAATCTACCTGATGTCGAAATTAACAATATTTTTCGAATCTCTATACTTAGTACGGACATGATCTATTCCACACACATATCGAGGGGTGAAATGCTGTTTGGTCTAAGCGACAATTCGCTTACCACGCGACATTTGTCTTTGTAATTTAAGGTGCATTTTATTTGCTATCAGTATCAACAGTTCGATGTTTTCAATTGAACTTCAATAAAGTTTACCCCAATCAAATAGCTGAAGAAGTTGTTATTATGATTTTTTCCCAAAATTTAAGCTCTAACTGTAAAGTTTCAAAAAAATCGCTGAAACTAAATAGCTTTTCAGCCCTCGATATATTCATCAAAATCAAGTTTTGTTGCTATTATTATTTGAACAATTTAAAGATTTCAACAAATGTTCACGATTGACTTCCACGGTGAAGGAATAACATCGTGTAATAAAAATGAAACCCGCAAAATTATAATTTGCGTAATTACTGGTGGTAGGACCTCTTGTGAGTCCGCGCGGGTAGGTACCACCACCTTGCCTATTTCTGCCGTGAAGCAGTAATGCGTTTCGGTTTGAAGGGTGGGGCAGCCGTTGTAACTATACTTGAGACCTTAGAACTTATATCTCAAAGTGGGTGGCGCATTTACGTCGTAAATGTCTATGGGCTCTAGTAACCACTTAACACCAGGTGGGCTGTGAGCTCGTCCACTCATCTAGCAATAAAAAAAAAAAAACATGGAACTCGCTGCACAAAATTATTTTATTATAATAAATACTAACGAGGATACTAGTGATAGTGATTAAAATATTAATAACTTAATTTTGATTTTTAACTTTTAAGTGTACTTTTTAAATTCATTAAACTCAATCTTTAAAAATATAATGTGTTTGAATTTTAACACTACTGTGAATACACCTTTACCCTGAAGTTGCACTGACGACTAACTGTATTCTTAACGCGAACGGACTATAAATACCTTTTTTTTTTTACTGCTGGGGTATCCATTTACGGATACCCGGACTATAAATACCTGCTTGTTGATTATGAGAGGTGGTATCTGCGCGGGCACGGCGCCGGCTTTGCTCCCATTGTACGTCCCCACACATTTCACCGTTTGGTTCCCGCTGACGTCCTCGACCATGCTCACTGTAATTTATAAAATATAAATATTAATCCACCTTTTTTACGCACGTTTTCTTAAGCCCGACCAACCTGCGCTTGAATTCTACAGGATACTATTACCTTAAGACGACTGTAACATCACTATAATAAACTATACACATATCGCTATTAGTATAAAATTGAAAGAATTCGACATTGAATGTTGTAAAAGCCTTAATTTTTTTTAAATCCAATTTGGCAAAAACGAACAACCGTGTATAGCTAGCTATACACTGCCCTTCAAAGCCTATATGAGTCGTCTATTATCAAAGGTGCATTTGGACAAAAAATTTTTATTGATATGTCAATACAGATTGATTTGAATATAATCGTCTCCTTCAAAGAATACGGTTCAAAACCTGCATTAAATAAAGGTTAATAGTTAACCTGTTATTTATCTAAGATGTCGTTCCGAAGAGTTTTGTGACTGCCAATGGAATACAAAGTCAATAATTCGTTTTTCTGATTTACCAATCATTGTCCAAAAGTCAGATTGCCGGCTTTGATAATAGTCGACTCACTTAATATGAGTCGTCTATTATCAAAGGTGGCAATCTGTGCATTTGGACAAAAAATTTTATTGATATGTCAATACAGATTGATTTGAATATAATCGTCTCCTTCAAAGAATACGGTTCAAAACCTGCATTAAATAAAGGTTAATAGTTAACCTGTTATTTATCTAAGATGTCGTTCCGAAGAGTTTTGTGACTGCCAATGGAATACAAAGTCAATAATTCGTTTTTCTGATTTACCAATCATTGTCCAAAAGTCAGATTGCCGGCTTTGATAATAGTCGACTCATATACAAAATTGTAATTTCTGCTAAAATTAACTTACTCTCAAAAATTGTATGTAAAGCAAAATTATTATAACTAGTGGTCCACGGGTAGTCGAAATTCGACTTTATTCAATTGAAATTATAAGTTTGAACATTAATATGATTCTATTCTCAAAGATTATTATAATTTTATAATCACAGATTTTGCCAAGACTACACTTTAGACAAATATTAATAAAGACAAACAATATTGAATCTATTCTCAATTTGACCACAGACTATATACAATACGAAAAGTTTGAAAATAAACAAATAATATGCATGTGTGTGTGTGTGTCAAATACACGGTAGTGTGTATAATGTTTTTTTTAATGTATTTTTTACGGATTATTTAAAAAAAAAAATTAACATTCTGCACTCCTCTATATTCTTGTGTGTGAAATTTAATAGTCCTTCGTCCGCGCAATTTTCTGAAAAAGGGGTATAAAATTTTTGCTTCACGTGATAATAAATATATAGATATAATTTTGAAGTGATACAGTATTGATATTCGTAAGCGTACTTACTGATGATGGAAGACATTGGCGTGCTATCCTGGCTGGCTGATCTGGAGGCAAGTTTCCCGCCGACCGTGAGGGTCGGCACCACGGTGCTCTTCTGCAACGCCAGTACAACAAAAGATTACGCAATAGTAGCATCCTCGATTACAAACTTAATTCCTTAGATATATGAAAGAGCATGCGGGCCTTGTATTAAGCGGTTACCAGGGTCCATGGGCATCATAAAGCGAAAGTCATCTTGAGACATGAGGTCAGTTTTTGTTGGGAGGTAAGATGCCTACACCTAGAAAACATCAATTATTTATATAACCGATTATTTATATACTTTACACGGCAAACGAGTGCTGCAGAAGAATGATGGTAGGGCATTGTAAGACGCGTCAAGTCAACCCCCTCCACACCACAACCATTCTACTAAGAGTAAAATGTCTAAGAAGATATGGTAAACAATTACATAAAAAATTAATATTTTTTTTTTTGCGTACGCAATGAGCACCGTTACAAAACCGATGACACACAGGGTTAACGCACTCATACTAAGCACATGTTAAAAGCTCACACAAGCAACCTTGGCTCCACACTACAACAGATATTTGTGCTTAACTATAGTTTATTTTTTGGCGTATGTCTTAAGGTTTATTTTAGTCTGATTCTTCGGCTTTCTATTTATTTTCTAATTATTTTAATATTTTTAAAATTCATGCTGGTTGAGATATTAGGATTGTTGTTTTGCTATCGGTCCTTGGTGTGTGGTCAAGTTTTCAAGTTAATCGGACATTTGAAGCTGGTCAAAATGAAAATTAAAAATTCCGTGACATAAAAAGACATACCAGGCTAATAAAAGCATGTTAAATATTAATACTCACTGGCAACTTATCTGTCTGCGATCTACTCTCAGGAGCGCTAGTTCCGTCGCTGTTATTATTATTGTTGCCTTCCTGCAAATTAAACGGAATGGAATTATAATGAATTGAGACACAAAATTTTGTTTTTGTCGCACGTGATCAACATTCAAGTGTTTCCCAACATTTTTGTGCCATGTCCCACTGTTAACGCACACATGCCACATGCCTCACATGGTAACATTTGGGTTACAACATTTCTATAATTTTTAACATTAATAAATTGATTTGTTCACTTAAGAAGCATAAATGATAGGTTTCAGGAAGAATTCACTATGAAATTGTTATCAGAACATGTATGTAATATTTCAAAACACACAATAAAAAACTGAAATTCAAATTCAAAATAATTTTATTACACATTTTCTTTTCTTTTTTTATTGCTTAAATGGGTGGACGAGCTCACAGCCCACCTGGTGGTAAATGGTTACTGGAGCCCATAGACATCTACAACGTAAATGCGCCACCCATCTTGAGATATTAGTTCTAAGATCTCAGTATAGTTACAACGGCTTTGCCGCTTTTCAAGCCCAAACGCATTACTGCTTCACGGCAGAAATAGGCGGGGTGGTGGTACCTACCCGTGGGGACTCACAAGAGGTCCTACCACCAGTAAAAAATGTAATATTTGTAAGAGGTGATATGTGATGTGTAAGAGGGGAGTGAGCGAAGAAATGGTATATGATAGAGGAGTATGGAAGGAGAAAACATGTTGCGCCGACCCCAGGTGACTGGGAGAAGGGCAGGAGAATGGTGATGATGACTTACCGATCGTTGCTGCGTGCACACGGAGTAGTGTTGCGACCAGTGCGCGCGCTGGCACGGGTAGTCGCAGTACGAAGTGTTCCAGCAACAATAAAACTGAGCTTCTTGGCTGCAGTTCGCACACCTACAAATTTATATACACAATTTAACCCATACATAATATAACTGATATTCCCTTAAAAATTTAGAAATAATTTTTTTTAATTCGTTTTAGTGATCGAGCTCCAGGTTACCGGAATTAATAGACATTATAATGTGAACGTTGTCTCTCGTCTTGAGAGTTGAGATTACAGTCTCAGTTGTAAGATGACGGCTGTACCACACTTCAAACGAGAACACATAGCTGGTCTGCTTTTCGAACGGTGGTATCGTATCAAATTTTTTAAGCTATTGAAACGTTCCAGTACAAATAACTATTATACATTTTCTCAGTGGGTCGCGATTTCGATCTAGTGGTAGATTCAGTGAAGTACTTGCTCGGGCTCTTGCTTGGACTAATGTTAGCAAATTCTCTCAGGGTGAAACCGTGAGTTCACCTACCAGTCCGGACATAGCTGGAAAAGCCTCTTAGCCTACCGGCGAATAGGTGGGGGGAAAATTGCAATACAGTCGCGTCATACATCTAGGGTGCGCGACCCCGCGACCCCGACAGTAAAATCTATATTTTTTTTTAGTAAATCTTCTCACCACTGTTTGGATTTAGCTAGTTTGACAGCTGTCTCCAATTCGATTTGCGCCAGACGCCTGGTCTCCATGACGAGCCTCTGTTTCTCTTTCTCGAACGTTGCCCGCATTTCCGCCACCGATAATTCTATGAATCGTATTATATTAACACTAATCATACCAACACTTAATGACACCTATTTCTACCATAGCGGGTAGATACCGGTATACGACAAGTATTACTAAAAAAAAAAACAAAACAACCAAAAAAATAGTATAATAACTAGGTATAGATTATTTCGTAAGAAAAAGTCGTGAAGTCAAATGTGCAAAACCAATAAGAAGATACGTGCACAATGTAAAAGTTCCAAATGGGTCACTTGACCCGTTATGGCATGTTTAGTGTTAAATCAAACCCATATTCTAAATATTATGTATAGGCAGAGATAAAATAGTTCATTATCATTTTATTTGGTAGCTACCAGTTTGATGTTTCAAACATTTTTAGTAACATTTCCTAATTTTTTTTGTAACAAAAAAGAACATATTACAAAAAATACACATTAGAAACTTTATGTTTGTTTACCAAAGTTATGTTTGATTTCGTCCAGTCTCTGCTGGTGCCTCCACTTGGTCTGTTCGAGCTGCAGCTTCAGGGACGTGACCTGCGTCGACGGATGGTCGAGATTATCCAGCGAATCCTCCAGTAGCGTGCGGAAGAAATCGGCTAGCTGCAACAAATGTCGTAACACTGAGTAACTATTCTACCTAAATTTAAGGTACATTCTTTATGATTTAATGTAACAAGATAAAATTAGTTCCAAACGAGTAACTGTGCAGCGATTATATGTACATTTATATAAAAATTTCAATGTGTAGGTTGGTTTGTTTTTGTTTCGCAATTGAGGGTATTTTTATTTTTATATAGTACAAGCCGTACTCGGCCGCTTCGCTGGGCATTTAAAATTAACATTATTATTTGTGGTCATTATTCTTAGGGAGTCCAACGCTCATATATCAATATCCATTAAGTACATGTATTTTCTACATGGATATCAAGTTTCAAGTCAATCGGATGCATGGTTCAGTAGTTATAACGGAACATCCGTAAAAACTACTGTAGATTTATATATTAGTATAGATTTTATGAACATTTGACAGGATTGTTTCGATCCCAGAAAAAACAATAGATGAGTCGACTATTATCAAAGCCGGCAATGTCACTTTTGGACAATTATTGGTAAATCAGAAATCGAATTATTGACTTTGTATTCCATTGGTAGTCACAAAACTCTTCTGAACGACATCTTAGATAAATAACAGGTTAAGTTAATACTTTATTTAATACAGGTTTTGAATCGTATTCTTTGAAGGAGACGATTATATTCAAATCAATCTGTATTGACATATCAATAACATTTTTTTGTCCAAATGCACAGATTGCCACCTTTGATAATAGACGACTCAGATGTAACAGTGGGTCATATTTTTATTGAAACGAAAATATAATATTACGAATTTATAAGTATTTCGAATTTACCTTGATGGCATTCTGATTGAGTTTAGCCGTTAGAGGACCGACGGTAGATGGTGCTGGTACAATACCAATTGGGAAGTTGGGATCTAGTGGATTTTGTATCGGCGGCCGCTGCTGTAACCTCGGGAGCTAGATGAAAAGTAAGACATTAACGATGTTATTGACAGTCTGATTTAACGCATAAGATATTTACTATCCAAAAATACGTAAATCGAGTTAACGTCGCTTACGTTTGACAAAAGAGTTACGATAACTCGTCATGATAACTATTAAATGTCTAGGGCAAGTCAAATAATTAGTCAAATAGTAAGCCAGCGTCAAAAAAGTTAAATCCAAACGATCCGTATTTATTTTATTGCTCTAGTGGAGCAGTTATTTATATATTATTATTATTATTTAAATATTTTCGGTAGGCAGCGGCTTGACTCTGCCCCTGGCATTGCTGAAGTCCATGGGAAACGGTAACCACTCACCATCGGGTGGGCCGTATACTCGTCTGCCAACAAGGGCAACAAAAAAAAATATTTTCAATAAAAGCCACAGCGTAAACGTCATAGCTGGTTTTGAGGCACAAGCTTCGCTATTGTACCAATTACCCGAGTGAGCCATTAACACTCTCTAATATTTTTCTACAGTTTTTTTGTGTTTATCGAGTATCAAAGCCCGTAGATATCATAACATGAAAGACCCACATTGGGACATAAAGTCGAAGTCGCTCTTCATAAAGTCTAACGACTGTTTCACGACAGCGGTGGTATGCAATATTGTAAATAATGTCGAAATTAAATGAACTAGTGGTCCCCCGGTAGTCAGAATTCGACTATAATTAAGTGAAATTATAAGTTTGTACACTATTATGATTCTATTGTCCAAAATTCAAACTTCTATAATTTATAATTCTATATTCTATTTCTTTCTCTTCTATATTATATTCTACACTAATATAATCTATGTAACTTCTATAACCACAGATTTCGCCGAGACTACACTTTAGATAAATTTTAATAAGGATGAACAATAATTTATTCTCAAATTGACCGGACTATAAGAAAAGTTTGACAATATACAAAATATAGTATGCATGCGTGTGTATGTCAAATACATGCAGTGTAATGTTTTTTTTGTTGATTTAATTTATTTTTTATACATAATTTAAAAAGATATTAACAATCTGTACTTCTTCTCTATTCTATTTAAGTGTGGGAAAATTGCAATTTTCGTAAAAAGGGGTACAAAGTTTTTGCTTGACGTATTAATATACTACAAAATGGCAACTCACTTCTGTGGGAGTGTTTGTGACGACAGAGTCTCCGGGCCGGCTCGGCGGTGCGGCGCCGAGGGGCGCGGGGCAGGCGGGGGGCGCGGGGGCGGGCGACACGACGGCGGCCGGCACCACGGTCGCCGCTTGACCGAGCCTTTCCGGAACACCGTTCACTAGCGGCGATGTTGTGTTCGACTGTGTGATAATCAATGTACTACTTAGTTCAATAATTACTACTACCACTTAGTTTAATTAAAATAAATTATTATTTAAATAATTAAATAAAAATGAGGTGTACTTTTTATTTGACTCTTACCTTGTAATATACCAGCACTGATTTTTTATAAAATTTATCTCTTACTAGTTTTTCAACTAGACGAACGAGTATTGAAATATTCGTGTTTTAAAAAAACACTAGGGACGTTTTCGTGACTGACCCAATTAAAAAAATTACCCACATTTATTTAAGTTGTTATTCATATACATTCCTATATTGCGCTAACTACCGTCAAATATTATATACGGGCTACTTTGAATTTTACGATTGGAACATCCTATATGTTCGTCAGGAGCATTTCGCTCGAGTTACCGTATAGAAAATTATTATGTCCCTTGTGTGCTTACATCGATAGCTCCGACGGACATCACAGGTTGTAAACTAAACATCCACTGTCCATTGACGGAAGTCATGAGGGGCACCGTGTGGACGGTGGTCGGCACTTGCCCAACTGTGGGCGCCAACTGTACTGGGGTTGTGACCGCGGTGCTGGCCGACGTCAGCGTAGGCGGCAACATCTGTGTTGTCACTGTATTTACACCATTGTTTCCTGTCAAAAAGAACGTTAATTTTTATTATGATAGGATTAATTTTTTAGTTATGACAACCCTAGCTAATGTGATAACGGATGTGAGACACGGCTCTGTAAGACTACTACGAACGGTTGTTAGGTAGCAGCAAACGCGCAGACACTCCGCTGTTGGCTTTTTATACTGATGTTACAAAGCATATTATACGACACACGATTTAAGGGTCAAATTCAAATGACGAGCTAATCGTCGGGTTAACGACGCTTTTAGGTACCACACGCACCGGTCACCGTCCTCGTCGAACCCGTCGCTTGCAACGAAGGACTCGACGAGCAAATTAACTCATAGACACAGCCCACTGAGTTTCTCGCCGGATCTTCTCAATGGGTCGCGTTTCCGATCCGGTGGTAGATTCTGCGAAGCACCGCTCTTGCTAGGGTCAGTGTTAGCATCACTCCGGTTTGAGCCCCGTGAGTTCACCTACTAGTTAAGGTTACGCTGAAATAGCCTCTCAAGGCTATCAGCTTAGGTAGGAAAAAAATAAGTTGGGTTGGAGCGGTGCCGTTGTCGTGCTTGCATAGTGTGCCATGACCCTTAATCTCTATAAGTTGATTCAGTTTGGTAGACCTGAGCTGCTGACTATGATGGGTGCGACACAGCGCGGCTGGCCGGCGAGGGGCGCGGGGGCGGGGCGCGCCAGTCGGGCCGGCGCCTGGGTGATGGCCGGCTGTATGGGTATGTACACCATGGAGTTCTTCCCGTTGAGCTGGCAGTCTTCGGGTTTCTTGGGCTGTGGGAAAGTCTTCTTCGCACGCGGACGTATTTCGGCCGCCCCTGTCGGCGCTCTTCGCGTTAGAGGCGTCACAACGACCTGTAAAGGTAAAATGTAAATCAATCCTACAATCAACTTACGGTTTTCTATATTCAACATAGCCGTGATATTGCATAGTATGCAATACAATTCAGTGAATTTTTTCATTCGAAATTTTGATCCTTGCACAAATGTATCAAAATTATAGTTTATTATTTAATTTGATTGATAAAACAGAAAACTAAATTTCAAGATTGTTTTTTTAAACGTCGCTACACGTTTGAAGACTTTGGTAGTGAGTTGTGGTCTGTCCTGGAGCTTTCAATGTTATTAGTGAATTTGGATTGCGCAAATAGGTCTTAAGGTCATGAATATAGTCATTAACTAGCGCGTGCTAGTACGCTACTTATTGTTATTAGTAGAATTTAACTTTGGCTTGATCAACTGCTAAATAGCATGAAATACTGGAAAAAATTAATCAAAATCGATTGATTTTGTTTCAAATAAAAATCAATCACCACATGATGAGAACGATTCGACCGATTCCGCTCGTTTCTTATTCATGTGTCATAGTCAAAACATGGTTCGTATGAAAGAAAACTTGCAGATAATACACTGGAACAATTCCATACAATTACAGATGTAAGATATGATCTGGTTCGACCGATAACAGAACAACAAGTCACTTTAGCTAAGCTTTAGATTATGCCGTTTGTTTTTCCAGCGCCATCGCAAGAGTATGACATGTCCTTCTTCAAACGAGGTTTGCGGAGAGTACTTAATGGTAGGCAGCGGCTTGGCTCTGTCCCTGGCATTGCTGACGTCCATGAGCGACGGTGACCACTCACCATCAGGTGGGCCGTATGTTCGTCTGCATACAACGACAATAAAAATAAAAAAAACAACTCTTAGATAATTTTAAATTAGTAAGTTACCTTATTAAAGCGCACCTCACGTAGGCTGGAACTTTGATTCACGGGTCGGAGTTTGAATGCGTTCATCAGATCCATCTTCTCCATGTGCCTGCTCGGGTCGTCTAGATCGATCGGTTCAGTCTTGATCTCTACTTGCACATTGTTAGTTTTGTTGCGTTCCGGTGACGTCATCCTGGCGAACGCCCGCACCCCCACCCTCCCCACCATGGGCTCGTTCTCGTTCCTCGCTTTCTGCGACTTGGCCGAGTCGGTATTGCTGAGCGCGCTCGAGTCCGGCGCACTGTCCGCGGTTATGTCCACCGACGCGGATGCCGTGTTCGTTTTTGTGGTCGTCGTTGAGGTGCCCTGGGCCAGTGTGGACAAGGACCTAACGCTGCTGATGGTGGGCATGCCGGGCGGGTTGCTCATTATGACCGAGTCGGCATTCCGGGCCGTGTCGCGGGCGATGGCCGCCAGACTAGTGTCGTCATCCTCCGCCGTCCGATCTTTAACCGACTTCACAGCCTCTGCAGGCGAAGTCTTCTCTGCTAATTTTATCGCTTCGCTATCTTTAACTTTGATAACTGATATTTTACTTGCGGGTTTCTCTTTGTTGGCAGCGTTTGCGTTTTCGTTGTTTTTATCGGTCTTCCTGTCATTTTTTTCAGTTTTAGAACTTATGCTGCCGTTCAGGGATTTGTTACTTTTGGAATTCCTTCTCTTTTCGTGTCTACTCTTGCTTTCCCTGCTTTGTCTCTCTGTGGAGCTCCTGCCTGGTTTATTTTTTTGTTTTGATGCGGATCTTTCATCTTTTGGCGTCACCAGAAGAGATTTATCGTTGGGGGTGCTAGTTCTGGGAGAGTCTCTGGTGCCGCTAGATTTCGGAGTGTGTCGGTTATGTTTAGGTAATATTATTTTTATTGGAGTGACGGTTCGGTTTTTCTCAACTATTTTCTCTTTACCTTTGACTGAATCGTTTGACTCATCGATCGAGATAACTGAATCATCATCGTCTATTGGAATAATAACGTTCTCTAGTTCTTTCTTTTTGATCTTTGGTAATTCTTTATTGCTCGTATCTTTTGTGTCTATCTTTTTATCAGATTTTTCATCATCGACTCGCTTTTTTTTCTCGTTGGCTGTGTTGTCTTGCACCGGTGTGTCTGTAACACAGGAGCGCCGTCTTTTCCGCGAGTTTTCAGTCTCTTTTGTGTCTTTCACTGCAGATTCGTCAACATCCATTAACTTTTGACTGCAACACAATAATTATAATCAATTGAACAGATAAAACCGAATATCTCGCAATGAATAAATAATAAAATTAAAAATCTTATTTTGATGCATTTAACTGATTACATATTTAACTGATTGTTTTATTAGCAACAAAAAAATATATATTTACTTCTGCTCCATCACCTCGTCCTTTGAGTCATTAATATTATCATTAGTTTTGTTACAAGGCTGCCCCAGTAGATCTTCTGCTTCGCTTATGTCACTGAAAACATTATTTATGCTATGTCATTATGTTTAGTCAGGTCACCTAGATTGTATTTTTACCTTAACGGCCATTAACAATGTAAATGAATATTTAGTAGGCATATAGAAATCAAACTGGTAAATCGAATCAAAACAATCACAATTTAAAATATAATAAGAGTTTATGTTAACTTAGATCAATGCACAATTGACGGTAACAATTTGTTATACCAAAATATATATTTTTAGCTGTTCTTAAGCACGAGAGCTGGTTACATTGAGTTATTCGGATGCCAGCGGTATAGATGATAATCAAATAATTTTGTACTTGGTATTGACTTGGTAAAACTAACTTTTCGTGTTAAAATTACTAGATTTATTTATTTAGACTCTGTGTTCACGCTAGTACAATATTTAATAGAACATAAATAGAGTTGCCCGAATTATTCGACCACTTGTAACCCAAATTAATTACGTATGCAATTACCGTTTTCGATGTTTTGTTAAAGATACCGCGAAAATCTAATTTGCTGCTTTGTTATCAAAGGGAAAAACTACATATCTTCTATATGCTTCTATAACTAAGTACACTATGCAATATATTAGCAATTTATGAGCCGCAACACATCAGACAAAATCCTTATAAGATATCCAGTTTTTTGTATGACGGGCATGATATTATTAGCTAAGCGACGATTTACAACATAGTTCAAACAGTGTAGTCACCTGCCATTTGTAGAGTTCTTAGAGCATTTAGAATTGGTCCTGCTCTTGTCTTTTGTTGTATTCGGCGATTTATCCTTGACCGTAACACGTATCTCACCCTCGAACGATGGTATCTGAAAACCGACGGAGCTATTAACAATTACTTCTACCACAGCCATGTCTGGGATCGATTCTCAGTCTAACTCAAATATATACTACTTCTTTTATGTATCATGTGTGTATTTCGGGTTTATTTATTTATTGTACCGTATGTTCCATGGGGAGTGCTCTGAGGAATTGTTTGAGATGATCCCCTCATCACCTCCCGCCATCGGAGCTGAGTTCACCCATATGTTGGTTGGTGGTTGGTGGTATGGGGGTTGGTGCTTCCCGCTTCCGTAGGTTTAACCCGCGATTCCCTACAAGTGACCCCTGGGTGGTGCTAAACGGGAGCCGAAAACAAAACCGGTGGTAGGACCTAGTCCGACTGGCTGGCGACCACCCTCCAACTAGAGTCCGCCGCCAAATAGCCTAGCTGTGTTCCGGCGTGTGGGTTGGAGAGCCAGTTCTATNATCTTTTTTGCCACGTACCATCCGGCTATGGAATGAGCTCCCCTCCTCGGTGTTTCCCGAGCGCTATGACATGTCCTTCTTCAAACGAGGCTTGTGGAGAGTATTAAGCGGTAGGCAGCGGCTTGGCTCTGCCCCTGGCATTGCTGAAGTCCATGGGCGACGGTAACCACTCACCATCAGGTGGGCCGTATGCCCGTCTGCCTACAAAGACAATAAAAAAAATATTATCTGGAACTGCTGCGTTCATCGACAGTGCCTTTCCAGAGGTATTTTTTGCCACGTACCATCCGGCTATGGAATGAGCATTACTGCTTCACGGCAGAAATAGGCAGGGCGGTGGTGCCTACCCGTGCGGACTCACAAGAGGTCCTACCACCAGTAAGATTCTGTGAAGCACTGCTCTTGTTAGGGCTAGTGTTAGCGAATTCTCTCAGGTTAAGCCCGTGAGCTCACCTACCCGTCAGGGCGTAGCTGGAGTAGCCTCTTAAGCTACCAGAGAATAAGTAAGGAAAAAAAAACGATGCGGGTGCGTTTCTGAGACTTCGATATCGCGCATCAAGATTAACAGCCTAGTACATACCATCACTCTCATTTGCTCGTTTAGTTTCGCAGGATCGAATTGCGTTCTGAACGGGGGGTAGACGAATTTTCCATACTTCCTCGATATGTTACGAATGTGTTCTTCGGCTTCCTGAAAAAAAGGCAGACTTATATTATTATAAAACTTTAAACGGGGAGACGTGTTTGTAACGACAGTATTACACTTGACAAAAAATGTGGCCCTATCAATAACTCTAAGACTAGGTCAGTTTACGATTGACAGTCGGACTCCAGGCGAAATCAGAAGAAACACTTTTTACTGGTGGTAGGACCTCTTGTGAGTCCGGACGGGTAGGTACCACAACCCTGCCTATTTCTGCCGTGAAGCAGTAATGCGTTTCGGTTTGAAGGGTGGGACAGCCGTTGTAACTATACTGAGACCTTAGAACTTATATCTCAAGGTGGGTGGCGCATTTACGTTGTAGATGTCTATGGGCTCCAATAACCACTTAACACCAGGTGGGCTGTGAGCTCGTCCACCCTTCTAAGCAATAAAAAAAATATTTGACGAGCTACGGCAAAGTCACCGTTGCTAACACAAAACGTACTGTATGAATTCGATTCACAAACCTGCATGCTGTCCAATATATCCTGTCGCTTAGTTCTAAAGTTGTTTGGATCCTTCTCCGAGTACAGGAAGCAGTCTTTGGCTGGGACCCAGGCTCGATCGTGGGCACCGAAGAAACGCACGTCGACCAGACCGGCCGGACTCACCGACATGCCTTTAGCTGGCCAATACGGAAACCCTGGTAACAATAGCACATAAAATATTAAAGTATATATAACGGTAGGCAGCGGCTTGGCTCTGCTCCTGGTATTGCTGAAGTCCATAGGCGACGGTAACCACTTACCATCAGGTGGGCCGTATGCTCGTCTGCCTACAAAGGCAATAAAAATAATTAAAAATAAAAAGTATTTGAAGTCGTCGTGGCCTAAAAGATAAGACGCAATCGTATCAAGCGATGTACCGGGTGTTGGAATCCCGCTAGCCGGTACCAATTTTTCTATTGAAATACGTACTTAACGAATGTTCACGAGTGACTTTGACTTTCATAGTTAAGAAATAATATCGGTAGTAAAAATCAAAGCCGCAAAAATATATTTTGCGTAATTACTGGTGGTAGAATGTCTTGTGACTTCGTAAGGGTAGGTACCACCACCCTGCCTATTTCTGCCGTGAAGCAGTAATAGCACGTTACAATGTACATATTACTGAAGATATAACGCAAGAAGAATTTCTGTCTGCCAATTGGTCAGTGGTAAAACTCATGACAAATCCCTATACAGCGACCCCACGCAAAGTGGGATCCTTAAGGGCAAGAAGAAAAAGATTTTAAGTTTTAATTTAGAAAAACTAGAGTAGTATATCTTTTACATCCCTACAATAATTACATCCACAGATAAAACTACTAATACATATTATAGTATACCAAAAATTTTATATCTTACTAGCTCACCCGGCAGACTTGGTAGTGCCTCAATCGATAAATAAAAGACCTAAACTTTATTTAATTCCGAGAATTTTCATATGTATCTACCTTTTAAACCTTCCCTGGACTTCCACAAATAATACAAGACCAAAATTAGCCAAATCGGTCCAGCCGTTCTCGAGTTTTAGCGATACTAACGAACAGCAATTCATTTATATATATATAGATTAGTAAAACTCAAGCTCTGCACGATTATGTGTATGAAAAAAGTTTATTTGCTGAAACTAATCGCGCGCCATCTGTTGCACGTTGGTGGAACTATCGCAAAACTCTTCCCTGAGTGCCAACAATTGCGAAGCCCTAAACACGTCATTACGGATCCTCCCGATCCATTAACGGTGCTTTTAGGTACCTCAAGCACCGGTCGCCGGACACAGCCCACTGAGTTTCTCGCCGGATCTCAGTGGGTCGCGTTTCCGATCCGGTGGTAGATTCTGAGCACTGCTCTTGTTAGGGCCAGTGTTAGCAACACGCCCGGTTTGCTCCGTGCCCCGTGAGCTCACTTACTAGTTCGGTGAATCTAGAATAACCCCTCGAGGTTACTAGAATAGGTCGAAAAAAAAGCACTTGCGAACTTTTTTTTATTGTTTAAATGGGTGGACGAGCTCACAGCCCACCTGGTGTTAGGTGGTTACTGGAGCCCATAGACATCTACAACGTAAATGCGCCACCCACCTTGAGATATGAGTTGTAAGGTCTCAGTATAGTTACAACGGCTGCCCCACCCTTCAAACCGAAACGCATTACTGCTTCAAGGCAGAAATAGACAGGGTGGTGGTACCTACCCGCGCGGACTCACAATCACACGTGGTCCTCCACCAGAAATTACGCAAATTATAAATTTTGCGGGTTTTATTTTTATTACACGTTGTTATTCCTTCACAGTGGAAGTCAGTCGTGAACATTTGTTGAGTGCGTATTTCATTAGAAAAATTGGTACCCGCCTAGAATTCGAACACCGGTGCATCGCTTCACCACGAATGCACCGTCTTATCCTTTAGGCCACGACGACTTCTCAGATATTTCATTATTAATAAATTACAATGCAGATTGTGTGTATACCTTTAAGTTTAGCCCACAAGAGTATGTGCGGAGTGGAGCACACGTCTGTGAACCAGGTGGGTTTGCGCGCATGCGCGGCCGCGTAGCACTCGGGACACGCCTCGATCTCGCCCATCTCCGCACGACACGAGCGCACCACCGCCCTCGCGGCGCCGGTCAACTTCGACTGAACTGAAATATACGGACAATAAGTATGACGCAATATTAAAATTCGTTTTTTTTTTATATATGTCTTAGATGATTGATGAATTATTAATATTTCGTATCAATATAATGAAATCAACGCAAATTTTAAAATTTATTTTTGTTAATAGAAAATTTTATAGGCGTCGGAAATTAGTTGTCTAGTGTAATGACGTGATCAAATCTTAGCAACGCATAGGACATACAACCTGTGTCTCGCAACGATTTAAAAAAAAAATGTATTGCTTATATGGATAGATGAGCTCACGGCCTACCTGGTGTTAAGGAAGCCCATAGATATCTACAATGTAAATGCCGCCACCCACCTCAAGACATGAGTTGTAAGGTCGCAGTTTTAACAGTACCGTAAGGCCCGAGAATTACACTCAATTATTCATTAGATTCGCATCACAAAAAATGTTTAGCTTACGCAAATAGGTCGCTCATTTTTAACATTACCAGTACCGCTAAGCTTAATGACTGCTTAAGAGCAACTTACTAGTGCCTGTTTGAAAATGTGAAAATAATAAATCGTGTCCAGCCTCTAAACTCTAAACAATTACATGAAAGAACACGGCTGCTACTACTGCTCATGCAGTACAATGTCTATATGGTCGAATTTTATTGTTTTATGAAACAATAAAATCATATTATCTTCTTATTAGTGACAACGACAAGCAGTTTTTTAAACTATAGTATTCGAATACAAAGATCGCGCTATGATCACATCATTCGATACGAGTATACCAGACTTATTTATTACGCCACTAGCGCTTTTTTTCTGTCGTAGGCAGATGAGCACAAGACTCACCTATGTGGCCACGATTGACAGTGCCACAAACACAGCCTAGTCACTACCTACTGCATTAATTAGACAATAATGACAAAACCAATCTCGTCTATTTTCGGTGATAATTAAATATACTGTATGTCGTAGTACTCAACTTTTTATAAAAAAGCTTGCTTATATCTTGTCTCAAAACTTTAACAGTGGGTAATTTATTTTACGTACTGAACAGCATTAAACATATACATTTTTACAGTTAAATTATGACAACTCTATTATAACATGACGGATTTAGTGTTATTATTACTTTTATCATATTATATAGGGTGTTTTTTTTTATTTATTTGCGTGGAGTGGAATTGCGTGCGGGACCCATAGTTGATTAAAAAGCAAGTATGTATTTTAAGTTTTTTTCTCATTCATATTAATATTTGTTAACTTATTATTCGTTTTCCAATTATCGAGTTTTAATAATGTACATTAAATACAGTAAACTGACACACGTTCTAATTAGGAATTTAAGAAAGAGATCAAATTTCCTTATTGTCTCTTGAGTTGTAGATGCGATAGCGTAATAAAGCCATTCAACGCAAGATAAATTTTCGATAAACATTAATTAAGTCGTCCGTGATTTCTAATATACATATTAATCGTAACATCGAAAATAGTAAAGTTAAAATTAAAAATAAACATAATATTGTACTACAATATTATTTTTGATTATATTGGGGTTATATGCAATATATTTATATATTTTACCCTTCAACAAAATCAATAATCAGATCTCAGAAAAACTACACAGCATACGAATACGTTAACAATCGAAAATCGAAGCACATTTATTTAGTATTCATTAAAAAGAACATGAAGGGAATGAAATTAATATGTCGTCAATAAAAACAAGCGTGACAAAAGTTAATACATGATGATTTGCTGATAAATTCCGATTAAATGTAATAACATCAAAAGCAAGAGGGTGAACCAACAAAATAAGCGACACACGGACAAGCCAACAGAACAACAGCCAAAATAATAATAAATATAAAAATTCGATACAACCCAACTCACGTGTGTTGAATATAATACTATTGTGGAGTATCCATTGGGCGTCGGCGTAGAAGGCTTCGGTGCTTCCGTAGAGGCCGTTGGCGATGTTCGACTTCATGCGCGATAGGTCCATGGGGTGCACCACGTATTTCTCATAATCGGGAAACGCTTCGCGATCAACCGGGGTCATGAATGGCTCCACCTGGGAATTTCACGTAAATTCTATATTTAAGTTTGGCGGTTTTAATCGATTTTAGTTGAACTTATTTTAGTTGTTTTTTTTTTAAATTAATGACAAAGGAAGATCTTCCATCGAGCCGGTATAGTTGCTCGATAGACCGACGAACCATATTATGTTGTTGTTTCGGAACTGTATATACGTATGTATGTGCAAGTTTATCTTAAAATTATCATCAATATATTGTTCAATGATGGCCACCGAAATAATTTGAATTTTCTATATCTTGGTAATGAGAATAATTAACTATTTAATTTAAATTTACCAAATTTGTTTTTTTATAATGCGCAATTGCTCTACAGGACCAAACAATGATTGATAGTTAAAAACATGTTAATTAAGTTGCTTTTTGCGACCATACAATTTCTAGTCGAATTTTTCATTAGAAGCTATTTTATTTATTATTACTATTTCGCAAACAGGTACATCAATTTGTTGGATAGACTGGCGCGCCACCTATCGTCAATCAATGGAACCACACCAGAAATCGTCCCTGAAACACAAACTGTTCTTTCAACCAAATCGAATAATCGACGTATGAAAAGTGAACGCGAAGGTCTATACAGTTTTTTTTTACTTTTTTCACACATTTCTCACGGTTAGGTGTAAATCAGAACAAACAGAATACTACGGGATAGAATAAGATTTTATTTCTAAGACACGATATGTCGTGAACTACTCGTGTCATGTAAATTAGGTCTCAATTTAAAGTCAACCCAGGGCTACGTGTCAATGCACAAAAATGAATTATCTAATCATAACGGCATCTCTCCGTCGACGAATAAAATATTTTACTAAACGCATGTTACAAAGGACTTTTCGCATTAATTTACTTCTTTTAAATCATCTCCCGGTCTTTTTAAGATGAGATGAGGTGGTTTTGTGTCTTTGTTTAAATTTTTTAAATACAATATCACCTTATGTGATCAATACTTTGAGAAACATGACATGACAGTATAATGAATTTAATGAATCGAAGAAAACGCAACCCACATCCGAAATGTGCACAAGGCGTGGTTTATTATTAGCGTGATAGAGCGAGCGAGGTATAGCTTCGAGTGCTTATCGATCGAGCAGTGTGAGAGGGATGGCAAATGGCGTCACGCGACCGGTGCTACCTCCGATAAGTGGCAAGGTCATTTCACCCGCGCTCCGAGTGCCGCGTCTACACAGAGTCATACAATGGCCGCCCGCGAGTTCGCCACGCGGACTAAAGCGGTGAAAGTAGACGATTGAGAAATTGCACACTTGTAATGTACGAGAATAAAAACTAGGCGTTTTGATGAATCTCGTTATTTTTCTATAATAATCAAAGCTTACTAAAATAACGCAATTATTTATATAAATATGGGACCGATACATTTCTTTCGAAATGTAGCAACATTATTTATAAAAATAACATATTTAAGCATCTTTCTATATCATTAAAAAAGTATATAAACTTATTTAATCATCAATACATAAAATTTGTGTTTTTTACATAGTCTAATATATTACCCCATTCAGATCCATCATCCTCTCCAATGCAAACTTTAGTAGCTCACAAAGCATTCCCAATGATATCTTTTTCATTGCCGGTGATCTGAAAAGAATAGTAGCCAATGTTTCTTTTATTTAATTTAAATGTTGACAATATATGGTTTATTTTATAATTGTTTTATTAGCATTCATATTCTAACATGTAACAAATCATTATCTTAAATTCATAAAAATGATGATTATATTATCTTTTAAGTTAAATATGTCAAGGTATTATGAATGCAGCATATACATTTCCATAATGCATATTTTTGAATGATATTTGTAAGCAGTTTATAGTTCACCTGATGTTAAGTAGTTTCCTTAGATAGCCTATAAATACCTCACAGTCAGTCAGCAGTATGATTTACATAAGAATAATATATAAATAAAGATTAATTATTTTTTACAGAGTATTTGTTTCCAGAATTAATCGAATCATAAATGGCTATGCTAATGGAAAATCTAAACTTTTCATTGCAAACTAAAAGAAAAAAGACAGTATTAACCTAGAAATATTGTAATTAATGTTCTTGTTTAATCATGTTTTATTATATTATTGCATCATTGATTATGAACTTTAAAATTTAAATAGTGTTAATATTATAAATTTGTACACAAACATACATTATTGGGAGCCAGTGATTTAGTGGCTGCTGTTTGAAGTTTTATCTATGATATATTTATATATTATGATATATTATATAGATATATTTAATTTATTTTTAAGTTATATTTAACTTGGTGCTCTCTTAATTATTATACCATGACCAATATATTCCCACACAGTGATACATAGTTCATTGAATTTCACCATTATCTCTATAACTTCAGTAACTATATTTAGAAAGCTTACCTAGTTTCAGAGCTTTCTGCATTCAGTATTATTAAGCAATCAGGGCACACCCAGCTTTTATCTTCTGTAATTTTATTACGCTCTGCACTTGACAAACATCTATAGTGGAATGATCGAGGGCAGACATTACAATGCATTGGAGCATGCGTCTTCTCGTGTTCAGCCTGTTCAACTTGCCAATGACAACGCCAGCAATACAAATCTGACTGAAGTTTTCCCGGGACCTGCTTTTAGATTAACATATAATTGATTTCATTAATGTCCGCATTAGCATTCAAATAATCATATATTAAAATATGTTGAATCTTTCTGTGTAATAATTTTTTAAAATGCATATTTTACACTAAATACCTTAATTATTTTTACATTAACAGTATTGATAAAAAGCTCTCCTATTTTATGTGATATGCCTTTCGTATTATTGTCTGAATTTCTTTAAAAAACTATATCTAATCGTAACAGCATATTACAACAGCCAGCAAAAATAACTTCAGTATTGTGTTTGCTTAGTAATTATTGTTTCAATTTATACTTACAAGTGTTTCAGGTTTTTTCTTTTTAGGAGTGCCAGACTGAGACCTCATCCCTTCAACCTTTTCACCTGGTTTATTCTCCTCGAGTTCATCATCGGTCATATCATCCTCTTTTTGCATTTTCCCAGTGACAGAATTTAAGAATTGTTTCACTTTATTCACAAATTCAGGGTTCTGTGACCGCATAGATCTTTTCGTGACAGGTTTATCAGATTTCTCACTACAATTGCTCTTCTGTGAGTTATTACTGTGTCTTCTGGCTCCATGTATTTTTTCAGCTTCAATGGAAGCATTGAGACTAGCATTAGAACTATCTAGAATAACTCTAGATTTCCTGGTCTTGGTTTTTAATTGAGTACATTCACTTATTATCTTTGACTCCTTTGCAGATTTTATAAGAGACTTAAGCTCTCTACTGATGCTTTTATTGTGATCTTTTTCTTGCACTTCTGGTATTTCAACTTGAGAGACATTTTGATCTTCTCTCTCGACTATGACATCTATTGGCATTGCAGCAGGAGTAGGTGTTTTTGACTCAGCCTTTTCTGACAACTGGATTGTCATAACAACATTGTCATTAGAGCTTTCATGCAATGGAATTTCTTCTGGTGTTATAATAGGTGTTGCTGTTGATTGAATATCTTTAAGAGATTTGTCTTCAGGTTCATCAATATCTTGAACCATTTTTGGTGGATTTATTTCTGGATTTGTAATATTCTCAGTGACAGGATTAGTAATTTCCATTTTACTTGAAGAATCAACTACTTCAGTCTGCAATAAGTCTGAAGTTACATCTTCTGTGGTTGGCTTAATCGGCGAAGGTATGTTACAAGGTGAAATTGGAACGGTTGCATTGACATAAGATGAACTACATGGCTGTTCAATATCTTTAGTTGGTGAAACGATAACCGTCTTTGGTTGATCAAGATCTTTAGCTGGCGAGGATCTCTCATCGGAGGATAACTCTGTTGGACCTGTTGATATTATTTCGGAATCTAATAGGGCCTTGTCTGTTTTGTTGTTGTCCTCCTCTTCTTCCATTTTCTCCACTACAATAACCATTTCAACACTGCCATTTGATCCAGTCACCTCCTGCGTCTCAGGTACATCCTCAGTGGTCGAAGTAACATCAGTCTCCATGTGGGTTTCAGAATTGTCCTCCATGGCCTGTAACAATTTTTATTTCATCTGTAATCAGCATTGGATAAGACTATGTTTTTACTGTGCTTCGAAAGTAAATGAATTGTCCAATAATAACTATCTACCGGTCAAACTCAGCCACCCTGCCAGCTACTTACATACCTACTTTGAGTACAATCATACAAAAATAAAGACTCACTTTAAGGTTGAATTATCTCACAGAGGAACAGAAATTTAATTAGCAGCTGTGAAGTTCTAGGTTTTACATGTACTTTATAGGTTGTCTATTTCAATAATCTTCTGTTATTATCACAAAACATAACAATAACGAACGGAAAAAATCACACACATCGCCATCGCATCGCACGACGAGAGTGACGCCAAACGACCCTAGATGGCGTGCGATACTATCAAACAACATTCAAAAGGTATATGCTATCTCACTCCTTCAAATTAATTTTTTTCTTCTTGCCAAACTCATTCTGATAAAATCGTGCCTATTGTACTCTGCTGCATAGATTTAACTCTATTTAAAAAAAGTCTTCCTTTAGGAAATGGAACAAAAAAAAAAATTAGTCGACACTTCGTCAAAAAATTTAAAATTAAATTGCAATTGTTATCTTAAATTGTTTTTGAGTGTTATTTTCTACATATAAATAACAAAAGTAATAAATCAGTGATATAATGTTTTTTTTAATGTATAAACTGATTACTATACTTATTATCAAAACAAAAAAATGTCTTGGTTATTATCTTATTAACTCCATGGTTATTATTTTGGCTTGTAGCGACGAAGTGAAGTCTATGCCCGTGTTTAAATCTCGCAGGGTCTGTCACGAAATACGTTCTTAATCCATATTTACGAACGACTTCTGTTTGGAAGAATTAACATTGTGTGATTTAAATCTAAATAACTTTTTTAAATTAAATAACAGGGGACAAATCACACACGGTCATCCAACCCCAAATTAGGATTCCTTGTATTGTATGTACCAGAGACTAAAAAAATATGAAATGCTTATATATTTACACATATTTAAATGTTGTCCTTGTAGGCTGACGAGCATACGGCCCTCCTGATGGTGAGTGGTTACCGTCGCCCATGGACTTCAGCAATGCCAGGGGCAGAGCCAAGCCGCTGCCTGTCGTCGAGTACTCTCCGGAAGCCTCTTTTGAAGAAGGACATGTCACAGCGTTCGGGAAACACCGGGGGGAAGTTCGTTTTAAATGCGTCGCAGAAATGATATCTGAAAATGCATTGAGAATGAATGAGTGTGGTTCCAGATTTAATGGATAAACTTTGCTTCAGTAGTGCGGGGTGGCGAGTGGTATGATGATCAAAACGAAATGATAGGATCATGCCAAATACATGATTCCTCGGAGATCTCGCCCTTCGAAGTCTCTCCATAGACCTAAATGCTCCAAACGCTCCGTAAGAATAGGGTTATCAACAATCCGAGCGGCCCTCTTCTCTATGGAGTCAAATGGAAGTAAACGGTTGGTAAGTTTAATTGAGTTTAGTCTATTCCATTTACATATCTACATCTTTGGTAGTTATAATCAACTTAAAGAAAATAAAATTATTTATAAGACTGTCAGTAGAAGTTAATTACTAATATCATTATTCATTTAATAAGCTAAGTCTTTTGATTGTCAATATCTCCCAGGTTAATGATATCTCCTCATTTGTGTGTCATTGTCATAGACTTGATCTTGATACTAAAATAAAAATTGAAGTGATTAATTTGATTGAGTGCGCGGAAAATAGAAATCGGAATAAATATATTCCTTTAAATTGATTTTTTTTTCAACATAAACGATATGATTAGAGATCTGCATCTCATGTAGATTAAGAATTTTCTAGTTCAATTTTCTAAGAAGTCTCGACTAAAACACAAAATCTATATTAAATCGAATAATCGTCTGAAATCAAGAATTATAAAAAAAAAGTTAATTATTATTATTAATAAAAAACCTTAGAATTTCATTTAATGTTCTTAAAATCGATTTTATTCCTTTTCTAGGTCCATGGACGAAAGTATCAACCTAGCGATGTTTTGTTGACATTGTTGACAAGCCCAACTTTGTGCTTAATTTGTCAAAACATATTAAGTGTATAATCCATAGATTATACACTTAATATATTAGAGATAGATGCGCAACTCTCATTTTTATTTTTGCTTTAGTTAAAGCCCGGTCCAGCAGGCGTCGCTACGGTCGATTATTAGTCTCCCTACTCCGCACCAGGTGGCTTTTTTAGTAATTTTAATATTTTTAATAACTCTCTTTATGAAAAAGTCTTATCGTTTAGAATCGCTGAAATTCCCGGTAGTACTTATGAGATATTAAAGAATGTTTGATTGTGTTCAGCATTCTAATCGATAAGATCTTTTCATGCAGAGAGAAAACAGTTTTTTAAAATAAAAAGCTGTAATTCTCTGTAAGCTATTTAATTTCCCTATATTACAAACAATTTTCTGTTAAAAGATTGTATGAANCCTTGCAACGAAAAAGATCGGACGATACCTCTGGGAATGTCGCCCAGAGGATCCCGTTATCCGCCACCTACGGACGCGCCCGGTGGGAGTTCAGCACAACTCCCCCACAGACGGAGCCCCCGGCCACGCAAAGTGCGCGCCGGGGGGCCCGCCCAGGTCCCGGGAACCTAACCTAACCTAACCTAACCTAACCTAACCTAACCTAACCTTAACCTAACCTAACCTAACCTAACCTAACCAGTCGCATTCGAAGCGCCAAGATAGCTGCTCACTGCCAAGTGCCGCTCCGCACCGAAAAATCTTAAAAAATCGCGGAAAAATAGTAATTGTGAACCGATTTTTACGCGCAAAATGTCAAATTGTGCGGGAAAGTGAGTGCATTATAACAGTGAAATTTTGATATCAAAAAAGTGAAAACCGAGTGAGTGGAAGTTGAAAAACCCTATTTTTGAGTTTTTTCTGATCTTAAAACGGCGCGGTCGGCCGATTTAGATCGATGACCCCCCTTTTTTAAAGTGCCTCCACTAGGGCATTTGGGAGACCTACAAGCTCGGCTAAGTCCCGGATTTTTCCCGTGGGAAATGACTGAGCTATAAAGGAAAAAACCAAAACCACGTGGACACGTGGTCGTGGATCCCGAGGCAGCCGGGAGCTTCAAGCACTATAGAATCAAAGAACCCGCTGCGACGAGCCGTCCGACACTTTAAGCATCAAAATTGGACAAGTGGGAGCCGAGATAAGATATTTTTAAATTTTGGCAATTTTTAAAAATTTTTATTTTAAAAATAAGATCGACGACCTATTACTTAAAAATAATATATCGATACACCTCGCCGAGCTCTACTTACATTCCAAAAATCAAGAAAATCCAACTTGAAATTACGAAGATATAGACATTTAAAGTTTAAGGGTTGACACGTGCTACCCTTAAACGAACCCCTGACAAAAATCTTTGTATATGTTAAATTACGGCTAGTAATTTTAAGACTATTTTTGCTTTTATTTGTGTTTTTAGGTTTAAATTTTAAGAAATACGCAGTTTTTAATAAAAAATTAAGGGGTTATTTCGTTTTTAAAAATCGGGGGTGTAAAAGTTTAAGGGTTTCATAAAATTATTGAATAGTTCTCTTCAAGAAGCAAAAATCAAGCCCAAACACGGGTAGCTTAGAGTGAAAGCTGCCAATTTTAGAACAAATCGGCCATTTTGACGGCCATCTTGAAAAATTTGAATCGGCTCTAACTAGTGAACCATAAGTCGTAGAGAGACGTGGTTTTCGTAGCTGACATAGCGAGGGGAGCCAGAATCGAACAAACCACCTACCGACTCTATCTAGAGTTGGAAGTAGAGCCTGTCAATAAATACCGCAAACGAACAGACAAAAGGCCCCTTCACTTGGCAGAGAAAGCCGCGTCCTTCTAGCTACAAAATTGGCGGAGTAGTGATCTATTAAAGATTTGGTCGGCCATCTTGGCCGCCATCTTTGAAGGATTAAAACTTCCATAGCTCGGTGGTTTACCGGCCGATTTGGATGCGATTTCTTTTGTACATAATAATACGGGTTAAGGGACAGCGGGACCTTACCAGAACTGCTCTAGGTAGAGTCCCTCTACCCAAAATAAGAAAATTTTTTGTACTTACCTGGGCACACTGTGGACTGACTGGTGATCCGGAGCTGCATCACCTGGACGCCATCTCGCAGAGTAGAGCACCTGTAAAATAAAATAGAATATAAAAAATTATATTTAAACAAGACATATCTCTCTGGGTAGTACAGACAGCACGGCTTATATTTTGACCGAGCCTATTGGGCAAATAAAATCTCTTCTTTATTTTTATTTATTTTATTTTCTTTATTATACTTTATTTTATTATAAATTGACACTACCTAAATTTTGACACATTGGCGCAGCCAAGTGACTACATAGAGAAATTTCTTTATTCTCTAAAATAGATGTAATTTAAAAAAGAAACGTTATCATCAATATTGTATTTGTTATCTACAGTGTGTGCCCGAGTACTGACTAGTGACTCATCTTATACATATTGACTACTGTTTTTCTCTGTTATTTTAACGGTTACAACAAAAGGGGCAGCTCCTTTTACAACTTATACAAAACTGTCTGCCCCTCCGCATCACATTGTCAAAATGTTTGGACTTGGACTCCGCACACCTGTTAAAAGACAGGAGAGCCATAAGTCACCCCCAAAGGTGATCGTTCGCAAAAGTATAGACAGGTGGGAGGCCGCTGAGCGAAGCGAAGAAGTGACTGCGAAAACATGTCCAGAAATAACAAAGACCAATGCGACAACGCAGGCAGGCCTTGCAGAAACAACTAAGGCGGCCACCAAGCCAGCTGAAAACATCACCGCCGCGCGCAGGGCATCAACGGGAAATGACGAGTCCCCCAAAAGATTCTACGTTAGCAGAGCAGCAGAAGCGGCAGCCTGTCTGAATAAGGCGAAGGCCCATCTGAGGGCCTCACGAAACCTTAAGACAGAGATAAAAGAGGGGGTTGAAAAGGCACTCACACGACTACTTGAGCTAGTCAAGGAAGCTGAAAAAGAGCTCAAGACGAAGGGAAGTACAACGGTGAGGGGAGTGAGAGCGTTTGATGCTCCTCCTTGCAGCTCCGCCCCCTCTCCCTCCTCTACCTCTGACGAAAGCCTAATCATGGCACGTTTAGAGGAGCATACAAACCTGATGCGGGAAAGCGGCAGGAGAATGGAAGAACTGAGGGCGACGATTGAAAGACATGCCGAAAAAATTGAAAAGATAGAAACGCCTACCTACGCTGGGGTGACCGCGACCCAGAGCGACAGGGCGCATCAAAAGCGCACGCTGCACTCGGTCGCGGTCACCTCAACCGTGGAGACGGAAACAGGAGAAGAGGTGCTCGAAAGAGTAAGGAAGGCCATAGACG